CCCCGTTCCGCCACCGCCGGAGAAAGCTCCCGCCCGTTCCACCTGGACGAGACTGCCGCGCGCCACCGGCAAGACTTCCACCTCGTGCCGCTCGCTGCTGCGCTGCAATTGCACCTGCGACGGACGACGCCAGGCACCCGACCCGCGATGGACGGAGGGCGCTCCACCGGAGCGAACAGCTTCGCGTGGCGCAAAAGCTGGCGTTTGGTGTACGGAGAAGCTGTCGAACCAAAGGTTAGACACCGAGCTGGCTGATGTAACCAATTTTCTCCGACAACGATTGTACAACAGTAACCTGCCTTCATCTGCCTTCTATGGCAATAGGATGCAATAGGTCTGGGTGGTTGTCTGCCAACCCATTCTTTCTGTCCTTTCATGTGGATCACATCCCTTCCCGCCAGCTGAGTGCCTGTGTAGAACCCGGGTCTTCTAGGTAAAGGACGGCCACCGAACCTCAATCACAACGGAAGTCGTTCCAACATAGGTCTACTCTCCCCCAGCGTTAGAAAAGTGCACACGAAGAAGACTAGATTCCAATGATTGTTTATGAGAACTACATAAGAACTACCAAAGACTGAAAATATGTTAAATTAATACAGTCTTATTGATCATGATATATTATGTGTATATAGTATATATTATATAGTAAGTTTAATATAATATATATAATATTATATAAGTATGCTCTACAACTCAGCAACCAAAGACACTACAAGTTCAAGTTGCACATGGTGGAGCTTGTGCATCATAGCTTCTTGGAGAAGACATGTTTTTTAAGGAGGTCGAGTGTCGAAAAAGAAGCAGCTTTAAGCTTTGGGCGACCACATGGATTCCCATCACTCTGGGGCACCGACTCCAGTGGCTATGCTCATCTCGGATTCCCCGCACCTCAGGATGACTCCTGAACGACCCGAAAAGGAAAAAACAAACATCGCAGCGGCATCTGGGTGGGAGATCAGGGCATCTGAAAATACGATGGGACGTGATGATGCGATGTGTCTATACCTTTTGGAGTTGATTTCCCGTTGATCCTCTTATTCATCATTATTCATCTATATATATATATATATCCGCCGACCCCAGCTGATGGGGGAGCGCGCCAGAGAATCACCGTGTATTTTGGGTGTGGATCCTAGACTCCTCTAGACGTCTTAGACGTCTAGACGCCTGCATTCTCTTGGGGCCCGGAACAGCGGTGATGTTGTCCAGATGCACATCCCCCAGGTGCCTGACGACAACTCGCCGCGGCCACGGTGGCCACGATTACGCACTTGGAGGGCCTACGTGGGTGGCGTCCCAAAGCCGAGAACACTTGAAACATCTTGAAAAAATGCTTCCATGGCCGCCATTCTACAGCACCAAGCTACGGCAAAATGGTCAGAAAGCTTATGAGATTGCATATAGTAGATCATAGTAGGCAACAGTTACATTTGATCATCAACTGCCAAACTGACTCTCCTGAAATGCCAATCCCACCTAATGCAAGTTGCCAGTTAAGCTTTAGAAAAAGATCATTATCCCAGCTTCAAACCTCCTAGGAAGAACCAAAACCTCCTACAAGTAGGAGGAGAGACCCCAGTGCTACACTCCGCTCTTCAGTGCTACACTCCATCGACGGCTCCTTTCCCAAGCGCGCGCCCACGTTTGGGCTGCGGCTGTTGCCCGACCCCCCCCCCGCCAACCTCCGGTCCGTGTGCAGCTGCTGCACCACGAATTTCTGTAGGTTTGCTGCCGCTCTTTGGGCCCAATAGCCACAGCCTGAGCATGATGCGAGCACGACGCGGCGAGCAAGTTCCAGCGTGTCCCTGAAGCATCTGTTCGACCCCAATGTTCCAGGAATGATACGAATCAGATAGCCCAATTAATAGCCCAGGATAGCTCCATGGATGGTTTACCATGCTTTATCTATCTGAATCTATCTATACATTGGCCCTTGAAACCACCCTCATTGTAGGTCAATATGCCCTAAATGTGCTGGTGACTTTTTCGGTCGACTTCCCCTACCGTAGGCGACTCTGGCTCCACTCATCCGAACACCGTTTTCACGACGCTACCCGATCCCACACCGCGACCCGGTCGCCCTCGCCCACCGGCGACCGCTCGCTCTCGGGCCGCGGTACACGCGGTGGTTTGACCTCTTTGGATCAGATGCTCAAAGTCCGCCACTTCGGCATCTGCCGACGGCCGAAGTGACGAGGATCAGCGCAGGGTGAACCCAAACACACACGCCCCAAAAGGGGGGGGGGTCCGGGTGATGGTGGCATGCGGTGGCAGGATGCCGGAAGATGGCCTGTTAGGTGAAACAGGATCCATCAGCTCGCAGCGTTTTCAAAGTAGGAAGTGGGAGTCTGCAAGCATGGATCGAGCTGAGGTCAAAAATCTCTGCCTGGCTCCGCTCTTTAAGCTATAGATTACCCACACACCTGGCATCAGCAGGCTATGTTAGGCAAATCCTGACAAATCCCTTCCACTCTAGGATGACCTGTTTTGAACGAAATAAGAAGCCGTTCAATTTACGCTTGACCGTTACCCTCAAACAGGCCAGTAGAACCACAGACCTGTTAACATGCGCCTGAAATGGATGTTTTTCTGGATATAGTCAGTGGGTTCAATCATCCCAACTACCAAATAGTTATCTTCTGAGAAGATCTGAGAAGAAGGTACGACTGGACCTTCCTTCAAGGTCACACAAAAGTGTCGAACACATCACCCTCGATAGGAGGGCATGCGGATCCATAATGGCATATCTGAAACCACCACCCAGTGTCTAATGGAACGTGCGAGGCGGTGAGCCTGTCACGGCGTTGCTAAAGACCTGCACCGGCTCCTGGCGGCATGCAGAGCTGCGCGCTCGCTGGGGCATGCAGAGCTGCGTGCTTGCTCAATTTGGATACTTTGTCTAGCGTTTATGGAATGACTCTTGATGCTTTTTGCCCGTCGCCGTGGCAAAAAAGCATGAACTCAGTCGGCAGTTGGTCAAAGCCACGCCGCGCCATAGATTGGAAAATTGCAGCCTGTTGTGCCGGGTTGGGCCACAAGCACTGAGACGGACCACCTCAATGTGTATTGGATGGTTGTCACTCTGAGACTCAAGCCGTTGTGGATCCAACATTCTCATATGTTTGAGGGTGTCGCTACTAGTGACAAGGGCATGACTACTAGCAGCAAGTATTAGCAGCTACAGTACTAGTAGCGATGCCCTTGTTACTAGTAGCGTATTCTCTACTACTCTTGGACAAGACATCAGGGTGCCGTTTTCGCAAGATGGCTGCCAACTTGGCTGCCATGCTTCTTTGCCAGCGCGAAGCTGCTGAGCAGAAGACACCTCAGTGACCTCCCAAAACAGCCCAAAACCAGGGGAGTCACTGGTCACTGAGAACTCAGTTGCCCTGGAGGAGTTACAGTTGCTCAAACCGCATCGACCCGGATGAGAGTTCAGAATCGACCCACCATGACCCACCTCTCCCGGATCGAAGCGGAGCCGCTCTCCTCTTCATGGAGCTGCTGCAACTGCTCCGTGAAAACACCTGGTTGGGGGGCTCTGTGACGCTGTCTGAGCGAGTGCTGACCGGTCCATGACCGGACCATCCGGCCCTGACGTCGGGTCGTCACTGGCAACTCGTCACCGGCAGGTCGTGTCGTCCACGGTCGTTTGGCACCTGACCCCTCGACCGCCGCCCCCTCCGCCGGGTGGGGCCCGACCCTCGCCTCGCGCGCCGAGGAGGAGGCTGAAGCACACCACGGCTGCTCGGCGCCGCAAAAGCCTCGGCGCTGCTCGGTGCGAAGGCTCCGAAGGCTGCGGGGGCTGGTCTTCGGGGCATTCCAGCCGTGGCGCGGCGTGGGAAGCGAAGTGCCTCTGGTGGCGTGTTTGATGGTTCAAATGTTTTGGGGTTCTGAAGGGAAAGGTCTGAAAGAGGACGAAAAAAGAACATGTCCGTGGACACGACTTGCGCACAAGTCAACAACGCTGCCCTCCAAGCCCTTTGTCATGTTGTATGACGGGGACTGGGGGTGTTGAAGTTATCCAAATTAGATGCAGGGTCCATCCCATGTTCATACTGTCGAGGGAACCAAATGGGAGGAACCTGTAGGCACTAAAAGGAAAACACATTGGAGGCTGCCATCGCATCGGAGTCGCATCAAAAAAAGGGTCCGAGGAGGCTCCGTGATCCATGGTGATCCGCGGTCAACGAAAGGGTCTACCTCTCTCCACCCCACCCCCCACCGGGTGAACCGCTGGGGGCCCCGGACATGCTTCCCGGACGTCCGTGTGTCCACCCCCCACACCTTTGTCCGAGGATGTCAGGCCACACGTTTGAACCATCTGAACGCGCGGAAGCGGCGGGCGGCGGCGCGGTCGACCCCAGCTCAGACGACGTGCGGATCGGCCCCGCCGGCTCAGGTGAATGAAGTGGCTCGCTTCGACCAGAAGCTGCTGCTGTGAACAGCCGTGTTTGGACGGTGCAACTCGTTGTGTCTCCCCTTTGGCCAACTTCTGGGTATCTGATGGAATGCTCAATCGGATCATCCAGTCGGTTCAACACTTGTTGTCGCCCCCCTTCAGGTGCCCCCGTCTCGCGGGCGCGCGTCGGCCACTCGAGTTTGTCCACCGGCACGGGCCAGGGCCATAGTCATACATGAACCCGCTCAGGAGTGGCAAGCCGGAGAAACACGTGTAACCACAAATTGAATGTGTATCACTCACAGACTCACTCACAGCTAACAAGGAATTGGACGTGATCAACCATTGCTTATATGATATCAATATATATATATTAATATAATATATGGTTGTCATATATAGTTATCATATAAGTATAATGTATATATATAATATGATATGCATGTACCATATGTACCAGTTTATTCTTCATGACTCAATCCTTCGCGGCTGCATGTTCCCGAATGGTCGGTCGAATTCGGCCCGTCTCAGACCAGTCCTCCAGACTGCTCCGTCGTCACCCCGTCCGTGCACAAATGCCTCATCCGCCACGCGCGTCTCATCCCCCAGCCAGCGCCGCCTTCGCGGGCATCTCCTGCACAGCAGGGAGAGAGGTTGGTGGTCCCCCCCTTTCGCTCCAACATCCATTCTTCTTGCGGGACATGGCGGTGCGACTGACTGTGCATCCCACAGACCCCTCGGTCGGGGAAAACCTAAGCTTTGAGAGGCGGATGTGGTCGTTGTGCTCCATGTTCTCCCAAGGAACTTGATTTGTGAAGTTTCTTTCTCCAGGCATCCGACCTCTCCATCAGCATCCGACCTCTCCATCAGCATCTGACCTCTCCATCAGCATCTGACCTCTCCACCATCAATCCCTCTGAGAACTGGTCCGCGCCTCTGCTTGCGATGCCAGAAACACCATGAAGGCCATGGTCTCCTCTTCGTTCTCCAAGTCCAACGCGCGGAACCGTTGGACGATCTTCCGACACTTCAAGGCGTGCTGCTGCTCCGCCGGCGCCTGCTTGGACTTCGTAGGACAAGGAGATACTAGAGTGAATGGAAGAAATCCAAACACCCTGATGCAGTTCCTGTGGAGAAACCTTGCCTCTTTTCTCCTCCCACTGAATGCATGAGGATATCATTCATGATTCATGATAATGGCCATCCTGAGAATGGCATAGATAATCATATGATAGTATGCCAGGAGTGACGCTTCTAGCGGGACCCCATAAACAATGGACATGAAACCCTCAATCTGGATGAAAGTTTGTAGAAATCTCTATTGCAAACATGAAGCTCTTGGGAGACTATCTACTATAGTTGGTTTTGCACCCACGGGATCCGATCCACCCCGAAACCTCCACCAGGTGGTGGGTCCATCCCAAACAACCTGACACAGCCAGATGCGAAAATGAGGCAAAAGGACCGTTTGTGACTGCAAGTGCAGAGATTGGTGCACTGATTGCCTGATTGCTTGAACCAAACATTCCCGGCAGCAAAATCTTGAACACTCTTTAAACAACAAAACACACACAAATTGACTACCCACTGGCACCAAACCTCCCTAAACTACGGACCCACCTCTGCAGACTCGCAGACGAGTCCTGTCCCTGCCTTCACTGGCACCTGTTTCTTCTGCTCAATCATGTCCAACACCTCCTGCGCACGCTGCAGCACCTCGGGGCTGAGCCCCGCCTTCCGCGCACATTCCAAGCCAAAGGATTTAGACGCACAGCCAGGCACCAGCTGATAGAGGTAGGCGATCGAAGAGGCGCACTCGAACTCGGAGTCCTGAAACACCAGTGTTATATAGCTTAAGTAGCTAGTAGCGATGGCCTCCAACCTAATAGCGATGGCCTCCAACTCAATAGCGATGGCCTCCAACCTAATTAATAGTGGCCTCCAACCTAATAGTGATGGCCTCCAACCCAATAGCGATGAAATCTGTAAGCCTGTTCTCTGTCCCATCTGTGGTTCCAGAATGTTGAAAGGAGCCAGGGAAGCGACCCTCCCTCACATCTTATTGATTTGAGCTGAATCCTTGGGATTTGTCGGGGAGGGTCTTCGTTCGTGCCACAGCTGTGAGGTCCTCACACCGAGAAACGTGGAACTTCTGTGCGTGTCAGAAGATGTTTTTAATACTGCGCAAAATAATGCAAAATACAAAATCAATAAAGAACACAAAAACAAACGAAATACAAGGACGGAATAGTTGTCTCTTTTTGTGTTTTTTCTGGTCGCTTCTTTTTGTTTGTTATCTAAGTTATCTAAATTATCTACGCTTCGCCTGAGCCCTAAAAAGAAACACTCATGGCTCATGAGACTCTTCACAGATCTCGTATGTCTGCAACCTCAGTGCCCTGTCTATCTCTCTGCATGGCCTGTCCTGTGGCAAAACCCTCAAGTGGCTCACTTGCAGGTGCTCTTCCTCTTCAGAGACGAGGCCCAAGCGAAAAATCTCTGTGAAGTGTGTCGCCACCAGAACCTCCCAGTGAACTGCAAGACTCAGAAACTACACGCAGGTCGGTCGCCAGGTAACGCTGCGTGACAATACTCATTGCAACACCCAACCCGACATCTTCCAACGTCCAATCGATCCCCAATCTATCCACATTCACTTGTCATCCATCATACTTATCCACCATCCATCATCCATCATCCAATTCTTCACCCTCACCCCTACGCCTTGCCTTCGGCCCTTGGCGCCAGCGGCAGAAATGCTCGATGGCAGCCCCTAGCAGCGCCACACCGTCCGCCGCGCGCGTGCCCTGGCCGAACTCGTCCAGCAGGACCAGCGAGGACCGGGTCGCGTGCTTCAGCGCCAGCGAGAGCCTCACGCGCCAGCGACACGCGGAACGTGCGGAACCCCATCGGACCGGAAGTAGTCCAGGGATTGTGCATGCTTCAACTCTAAGCATCTCTAAGCTATCATGCATGACAACCGACCACTTTATTTGTGTCCTGAGCCCGCCATCTCAAAACCAACTCTTTACCACTACACTACCACCTCTCCACCCACCGTGGGCCCGAAAAAATCCCTCCCGCAGACCGAGCTGCTGTGAGAGGTCCAAGGCGAAGGAGGAGATCTGTGCGGTGGCGGTCTCCTCAACCCGCGTCCCGCGAACGTTCGGACCGGACACAGCTCCCGACACCAGCGTCTATCGCGGCGTCTATCGCGGCGCGGTGTCCACCGGCGAAACAGTGGGTTCGTGGGCCAAGAAAGCACGGAAAAGGTGTGGAAGACATTTAAAAGACCAGGAAGAAACAAAACTTCGAGCTTTTAATGAATGATATATTAAGTGAGAATTTGTTTGTTCTGATTGTTTTACCTTGGTTTGCACATCCCGCAGGCGCTGCTATGATTGCCTTGTGGCTTCGTTGTGTTTCTTTGGTTGGCATCCACCCATGCAAGCTGGATGGAGACTCCCTCCAAAAACGTCCAAGCGCTATCCCCCTTCGCCATGCCCGCGCCAGGCCACGCAGCTCTGGATCCGCGAGAAGATGAAGTCGCAAAGACCCAGCTGCGCCTCCTCCGCCGGCACAAAGGACCCTGCGGGTTTCGGTTTCGCGCGGGGGTTTCGGCGGCGGTTTTCAGGATGGGAAGGACTGAGCTTGCCGGTTAGACCAAGACAAAGGCCTTGGCAGGCCAGATGTCTGGCACGATTGCGGGCAAAAGAGAGTCGAAGCCAACATGTCCAACTCTGAGACAAAGCAACATCCTTTTGGTCATCTTGACATATCTTGACAAGTGTCTTCCGGTATGGAAGTCATTGAAGCAAAAGATGCGGAGCTGATCTCAATCATCTGGAAACTGATCTGTACATTGCAGCATCTGAAAATGAGGTCCACTGGCTTCAATCGCCAGAGCTGTACAAGGTCCAAGGCTGTCGGAAGTGCTTCCCACAAAACTGAAGTCCGGACTCCTCCTCAATGCGTAGGAGCTGGTTGTATTTGGAGAGGCGCTCGCTCCTGCATGGTGCACCGGTCTTCAAGTGGCCAGTGCCCAAGCCGACGGTCAAATCAGCAATGAAGGTGTCCTCTGTTTCGCCCGATCGGTGCGAAACGAAGACACCCCACCGGTTCTCTTTGCAAATCTTCCAGGCGGCGATCGACTCGCTGACGCTGCCGATTTGATTCACCTTCAAGAGCATGGCATTCGTTGCCTTCTGCTTTAAGCCCATCTGCACCCGCTTGGTGTTGGTGCAGTAGATGTCATCTCCCACGATCTCCACCTTGTCACCCACAATGGCCGTGAGTTGTGCATGACCTTCAAAGTCCTCCTCGGCAAAGGGGTCTTCCAAGAGGGCGATAGGATAGGTGTCACAAAAGTGCTTGTAGAGAGCCACCATCTCCTCTCTGGACTTCTTCTGCTCCGGCCTGGGTGCTTTGCACTTGAAGTCCAAATCATACTTCTGCTCCTCCGCCTTCCAGAACTCCGAAGAGGCTGGATCCGAGCCGATCAGAATCTTCCCAGTGTGACCTGCTTGATCAATGGCTTCCAAGAGGAGCTTCAGGCCTTCCTCGGCGTCATTCACAGCAGGTGCAAAGCCACCCTCGTCGCCCACAGCAGTGGAGTCCAGGCCATACTTCTTCTTGATGATACTCTTGAGGTTGTGGTACGTCTCCGACCCTAACTTCATAGCCTCTGCAAAAGTGCGTGCTCCGAGTGGAATCAGGAAGAATTCCTGAAAAGCTAAGTAGTTCCCAGCATGGACGCCGCCATTGATGACATTGAAGCAAGGCACCGGCATGCACATTGGAGGCTTGCCAGCCAGCTCATTGATGTGCCTGTACAAAGTGATGCCTTTCTGTGCAGCTCCAGCTCGACAGCATGCCATGGAAACACCCAAAATGGAATTAGCCCCCAAGTTGGTTTTGTTCTCAGTGCCATCAAGATCCAGCATCAACTTGTCGATGCTCTCCTGATCTGCAGGATCCTTGCCCATTAAGACTGGGGCGATTTTGGTGGTCACATTGTTCACTGCCTTTAAGACGCCTTTGCCCATGTAGTCAGAGCCGCCATCCCTCAGCTCGCAGGCTTCATTCTCCCCCGTGCTGGCGCCGCTCGGCACCGCAGCACGGAAGGTGCCCTGCTCGGTGGTCACCTCCACCTCAACGGTCGGATTGCCACGGCTGTCAAAGATCTGACGAGCGTGGATCTTCTGAATCGGCATGGGACGGACGGAGACCCGGACGACACAGGCGACAGGGTTTCGGGTTCGACTCGGCGACGCGGCGAGTGGCTCGAAAGGGACTCCTGGAGCCGAGACAAGCAGGCGACCGGTCCCAAACCGAAGCCTTCATGGATGAGCCTGGCAGTTGATTGATGGTGCGTCCCGAGTGTTTGACACGGGGGCAAGACATCATCTTAGACATGGCCAAAGCCGATCTTTTGACTTCGGCCGAGACAAGCCAAGCTTCCGAGATCCCTGTCAGTGCTTTTCACCAAGGTCGATGCACAGCAAAAAGAAAGAGAGAAAGTCGGTCCCTGCCTATGTGTGCCAGATAGGTGATAAGGCCAACCTGTTTCAAGTAGACCTGACTGGAGAATCTGAAAGGGGGGAACTTTCAAGGGGAAATTGGCCAAATAGATCCAAATAGACTGTTCACCCCCCACAAAGACCAGAATGAGGGGCCACAATCATTCATAGTTGGGACGAAAAGAATAGACTGACCATAAATCATAGGACAATCAGCTCATCGATGGACTCAATAGACCAATTAACATCAATTAACATGCTTCCAACTGATGTCCCCGCATGCCATAAACACCCACTGTGGCCATGGCCACGAGCTGTTTGTGTGTTTGCGAGCAAAAAGGCTTGGATCGTGCCACACTCGTGCCATGTCGAGTCATCAGCAAAGCCCTCTATTGTATAGTCCAAACCAAACCAAAAAGCTTCAATGCAAAAATGCAGGGCTCTAAGGAAAGTGAACATCAATACAATACTGTTGCTAACAACACAAAGAGGTGAGACTCTCTCCTGGCATGCCACCCACATTGTTCTCTCCCAGGGGCAGATTTTCCCGAGAGGTTGGCCCCAGTGATGACCTGCACTCGATAGGACCGCTTCTCTTCCAGGCCCAGCTCCGTACCTTTGGGTGTGAGCGGAGAATTAGGCATGAGACGATGACATGGTGCCTGGTGCTCTGTGAAACTATGCGAATGGCGCAGAGCCGGGCGCCGTGATTCCCAGGTTGAATGAGATCCAATGGCTTTTGCTGGCGTTGGGCCTTTTTGTTGACCAACCCCCCCCCAAACCGACACCGAAGCCACGGGACCGGTGTTCCCTGCCACAGATCCATCACCGAAACCCGCTTCGGAAAAAACCCACCGAAACCCGCTGAGCAGCTGTTGGCCACGAAGCCGTGCGCAGCCTTTGGGGCGGTCGCCTCGACCAGGGGATGGCGACCCTTGACGATGTGCAAACGCCCCGCGTCCTCGACCAGCTTCGGCCGCACCTGCAAAGGTGCGTGCTTTTCGGCAGCGGTCAGGGGTCAGGCCAGCCCGGTGGCAAGGGGGGAAAGCTGGGAACAAAAGTCATTGGAATGCGACCCTTGAGTGGGGGAGGCGATGGTGGATATGTGTCTGGCTTGGGGCGACGGACTACTAGTAGAGTAGATGAAAATATAGATGACATATTTTACCAGCTGAGTCGGCTGAAGGTTTGGATCGACAATCAGAGAGCTTCATGAGGCAAACAAATCAATACCTGCGATTTTGAGAGAGGCATGGTTAGAACGTGTTACAACTGAGAACCGACTAAGTAACAAACATTATGAATTCATCATCTCTAAAAAGCAAACAGAAAACATCTGGAATTCCTCTATGAATTCCTTTATGCTTATCCTTTCTCCAACGCTGCCGAGTCCCCAACTCCTCCCTACAGGAAGATTGGAACTGATGGCATGGACCTTTGGAAGACGATCTTCTTCTACAAACCGGGCGTGGTTTTCGGGTTCCGTGTAGGTCCAGGTCTCAGGCGCACCCTCCAGGTCAAGGCACCCAGTTCCACTGCAGTGCAGCTGCAGCAAAGGCCATGAGCACGTCCACCTCTGCCAGCAGCTCGCTCGCACTGCGCAGGCGCGACTCCAATGCCTGGGCTGAGGTGTCTGAACACCCAAGAAGTTGGGAGCCTCCCAAATCACAGCACATTTATGCATATTTACACATATTTGCTGAGTACTCATATTTGACATTAGCAAAGAATAAACCCTAACACGTCTGCGGCGACAATCCGGTCGCGTCCACAAAACCGAGAAGAACTGCTGCGCTCTTCTCGTTTCGAACTCTCTCAATCTGGAGGGTCGAGGAACTCTCAAGCGCTCCAAGAGTTGCATGAGAATCTCCAGCTCCACCCCACGCGCATCCACCACCAGGTCGCCTCGCCGGAAACGGACCGGTCAACCGCTCCGAAAACCGGACCGTCCGAAACGGAGTCCCGAAGCAAAACCTGGGCCGAGACCTGTGTTGCTGGGCCGAAACCAGAAACTGGAAAGATGAAGTTGCAGAAGATGAGCCCGAAAAAGATCTAAAAGGTGCATCCCTGTCCAAGCGCAAGTCTTGGGTGTTCTTTTCCAAAGACTGCATCCGACTGCGTTGTGGTCTAGTCTACCACATGTAGTTCTTGGATTTTGTTTGGTTGCACGTCTCGATCAAACCTGGACAGGGTCAAAGTAAAAGAAAGCTCCACTGTGTCACGATGTGGTGAAGATAACATTCAACGCCTTTTAACCTCCTTTCTTGCCACCGACTTCAGCACCTCAAAGAGCAGCTCAGCAGCTCACATGCATTTCTCTCTTTGACCAGCTCACACATCCTCCTATCTCCTCCACCGGAAGCCGTCCAAGCCAAGGGACCCACTTCGCAGTCCAAACGCCGAGCTAAGTCGCACTTGTAGAAGAGCCGCCCGTAGCCTGGCGGTTCAACCGCCGCGGTCGGCGCGGTCGGGGCGGTCGCCCTGCGGTGAGGTCAAAACCGTTGTTTTCCGGTGAAAAGATCGGCGGGAGTTCACCAGGCGGAAGATGGGGGAGGATCAGAATCCATGATGGAAGGAGATGACTCGCTTGGAGATGACTGATGATTCTAGTGGTTGAACTGTTAGGTTCCTTCTTTCTCTTTGCTTCAAGGTTCGAAACTATAGATTTGTCACTTCATTAATTAAGCATGGAGGCTATTGCACGCCCTCGGGTCTGTCTGACGGGGCGGGTGCTCCGACTCCCCGTGCCTGCGAACTGGAAGTGCCAATCTTCTGCAGGCAACGGCACAGCATCCCGCAAGGCATCCAGGCTCTCCTACCCAGGAAACAACATGAAACGACCGGACGAAACATGCATTCTTCTGCGAGTCAATAGAAGTTTTACACAGTTTTACTATTCTCAGCGTCGGCATTCATTTAATTGTGGAGTGCAGTAAGTGTTCTGTCCATTCTGCGAGCCCCCAATGATCTCAAACCCCCGCTCCAAGAGTTCCCCAGTGTCACCAATCGCACTGACTTCAATTTATGCATTGGACATAGAACCTTGCAAAGGGTGTTTGCACCACATGGCTGACATCTCCTGCATATGGCCCCTTTTCCAGCAAGTAAGCTAAGCACAAACCAATGTAAAGATAAATAAGCATACAAAAACACACACTTAGAGAGATGCTGCTCACAAGAGCTGAGTCAGTGAGTGAAGTTCCACTTTAGTGAATACGATACCAGGAGGGCGCCCTTTAATGGCGATAAAAAAAGTCTCCTAATAACGAAATTGCTGCCCCTAATAGCGATAGAAAATGTCATCTAATAACGAAATTGTGGCCCCTAATAGCGAAAGAACATGTCTCCTAATAACGAAATTGAAGGCCCCTAAAAGCCATAGAAAAATGTCCTCTAGTAGCGAAATACTAGACTAAGGAACAACCACGACCTCAAGAACACATGACACTGAAGTTGATTCAAAAGAGCCATGTAACTCTCACGCAGTGAAATCACATTTTTTCCTGCTACAGCTTTCGCCGTCTACAGCTTTCACGGATTTCACCGTGCTTTCTTTTGCGCTGGCTCACTGCTCTTCCTTTCCTGGCAGACATGCCATAAACAGTGGGTTGAAAGACCTTCAAGAATGTTCCAAAGACCCGTCTGAAAGTGTTTTTTGCATGGTAAAAAACAGGGCAGGCAAGTCTTTGGAACTATTTCACCAACACAAATCGTGCTGCGCAACGGATGTTTCATTGTCAGTCCGTATAGGTACAGTACAATGTATATATTGTCCGAGCCGTGTCAAAGGTCCTGTCCGTATATATTGTTCTCTCCACGGTCTGTCGTTCCAGTTCATGGAATCTCCTTTTCGAAACTGCTGGTAGCATGCCTAGTTCGTTGCAGCTATTTAATCAACAACTTTCCTGTAATGCAATGACCCCTTTTGAAACTGCTGGTAGCATGTCTGCCAGGACATGCCGTTCTTTTCCTGGCAGACATGCCACAACAGTGGGTTGAAAGACCTTCAAGAAAGTTGCAAAGACCCGTCTGAAAGTGTTTTTTGCGTGGGAACAAGCCAGGAGAGGCAAGTCTTTGGAACTATTTCACCAACACCTTCCCGTGTTGCAAAAAAATTGAGGCTGGTCTTTGGAACCCATTGTTTCGTCCAATTTTCAACACTCACTCAAAAAGGACGGCGCTCCGCCTGTATGTTCTCCAGAGCGCACAAAAGCCGGATCACTTTTGGTCTGTTGGACCCTCGAAGACCCCGACTTGCAAAGATCACTCTAAACTGGCACCCCAGGCCGGGCACCATTCACCGACCCACCGATCCACGGCGACCGACGGAGCCTCTCCGGGCGGATATTCGGCTCGGGCACCACCTGCGGCAGGTATTCAGCCCGAGCAGGGCTGCGTCGGACACAGGAATGTATACCGCTTAGTGGACCGGACCTTGGTCTGTTGGAACCTCTGTTGGAACAGCGGGTTGAACACTTTCAAGAAAGTTCCAAAGACCCGTCTGAATGTGTTTTTTTGCATGGAAAAAGGCCAGGAGAGGCAAGTCTTTGGAACTTTTTCACCAACACAAATCTTGCTGTGCAACGGATGAAGAAAAGTTCCAAAGACCCGTCTGAAAGCGTTTTTGCATGGAAAAAAACCAGGGGAGGCCAGTCTTTGGAACTATTTCACCAACACCTTTGCGTGTTGCAAAAGACATTTAGACTGGTCTTTGGAACCAACTATTTCGTCCAATTTTCAACACTCACGCAAAAAGGACGGCAATCCGCCTGTATGTTCTCCAAATGTTCCGAATCATCTGGACGTCGCTCAGGAAGTCCGTGTGGGCCCGGCCGACACACACCATGAAGCCAATGGTATTCTCCATCTCGCTTTCAGAAGCAGTGCTTTGCTTCAGCATTGCTTTTTTTGATCTTCTGGGATGGTTAAAACACGGGGAGGCAGGGAAGGTGACGAATGCTGCTCCAGTGGCTCGAAACACTCAGCTGGCCGCCTCCATCCCGGTGACAGCTGGCCGCCGTGGCTCGAAACACTCAGCTGGCCGCCGTGGCTCGAAACACTCAACTAACTAGCTGCGTGTCCCAATGTTGGTTTGCTGAGCAGTACGTTGGTTTGGCTTGGCTGAGCAGTACGTTGGCTGAGCAATACGTTGGTTTGCTGAGCAGTATGTTGGTTTGGCTGAGCAGTACGTTGGTTTGGCTGAGCAGTACGTTGGTTTGGCTGAGCAGCACGTTGGTCCTGCGCCCTTGTTACCGCTGCACTATTAATGTGTTCAAGTATTTGCGCGCCCTCAAACTCATTGAGCCTGCTCACTGCTTCCAAGGCCATGGAACATGACTGCACATTGGTCTCGCATTGTTCTTTCATCATCATCCTATTGGATCAAATGCAACTGAAAGACATTGAGATTCAGGGTTTTGTTTCGCAATTAGGAACTGTTGTTTCGCAATTAGGAGGTTTTGTTTCGCAATTAGGAGGTTTTGTTTCGCAATTAGAAGGTTTTGTTTCGCAATTAGAATCTCTTCTTCGCAATTAGAATCTCTTTTTCGTCATTAGGAGGTACCCTGCGATACCAGCTGCAAATTAGACCTAAACGCAATAGTTAGCGAGCGGGACTTTAGTCTTAGACCGCCCGGGTAGCTAGGACTAGGACAGGAGAAACAGAAGGAAAGGCACCAACACACAAGTGTGTTGAGTGCGATTTCCCTCTGTTACCCTAGATAGCGGGTGGGATAGCAACAGATGAGGTGCAAGGAGGTAGGGGGGAGGGTGGGTTAGGGTGGCCCGAAGGCACTGCCGTCACCGGTGCTCAAGCAAAGCCGCAACCAGCGCTCCCTTGACTGAAGGCACCTGAAACCTAAAGAAAGGCCTCAAGAAAACGAAAAGCAACAGCAGGAAAGAAAAACCAAAAGAGAACCCACCCACGTTACTCTCGCTCTCCTCGCGTCACGTTTCGCCGTATACGGTGCTCCCTTGACGAAAGCTTCACCTCATACCTAAAGGCCTCACGTTTCTCACTCCCTTCACGTCACGTTTGGCCGTGCTCGGGGTTCGTTTTTGTGTCGTTTCGTGGTTTGCACATGCGCAGGTAAGTCAGTGGGCCCTGCGGCACTCAATCCCAGTAAGCCCTGCGGCGTTCAATCAGCAGTCTCGTGCAGTTCCGTAAGCCAGTGAGGTTGCAAGTGAAGGTCACATGAAGGAAAGGAACAGTCAGAAGGGTTCCCCCAACAAATTGGGTCTATGCACATGCAGAGCCCCTCGATGGGGATCACACCACAGCCCGCAGTGGGACTCTGTGGCGGCACACACTTAGAGAGATGCTCGCAAGAGCTGAGTCAGTGAATGAAGTTCCCCTTTAGTGAATACGATACCAGCTGCAAATTAGACCTTGACTTTCAAACGGAAAGGTGGAGGAGTCCGCTTCTACTGTATTGTTTAACAAGGGTGAGACGGAGAAAGTTGAAAAAATGCAGGTATGTGAGTCAGGCGTCCCTGACCCATGTCACAGGAAATCCATGGTGTCTTTCCCCCTGCCTTTAAAATGTTGTGCATGTCGATTGAAACAGGAAGCGAGACACACACACATAGAACAGTGACAGCTTCGTGTTCCCCAAAAATATCTCTGCTGCAGAGCCCTGACTTGGGCCCTTGGCGGTCCTCCCCTGTGGGGTTCGGCAACGAGGCATGGAAGCCGAGCCTTGGAGGGGCCGCTGTCAGTCCCTCAACTCGTTGGACCAGCTTTTTGGACGTTCGCTACCCTGAGGGGGGGGGACCCACACAGTAGCTATAGATAGCTTTTGAAAGCTACCCATGATGAACAACGCGACCCCCAGAATCCTCTTCAAGTGCGTGAATTCTTTCATCTTTGAACAAGTGGTTGGTTCTCTAAAAACCAGAGGACACCGAAAGGGCTGGGGAGCCATGCACCTGGAAAGTTGTTGAGTTGTTGCACCACATCCAAATGCTGCATCACATACTGCATGACATGATCTTGGAACCCAGTCTGTCCCCTTTTTCAAGGAACGCCAATCCCCCAAAACGGCACCCCGTTGGATCTTGGCTGCCGAACTGTGGGAAGTAGTGGAAGACGATCGACTCCTCATGGACGTTGAATCCATCGACCAATTCACGTTTGAGTTCGCGGCATCGACTCCTCGTTGAGTTATCTCGTTTAGATTACTCTAAGTCTAGTAGCAAATCAATGCAAAAAGTGTCAGGATGAGTCATTGACGTGCATGACCTCGTTGTGTTCTTGTGGTGATATCTATGATTAATTAATCAAGTCACATTGTAGACTATACTGATGCGATAAATGAAGTAAAAAGCAAGCATTGTGTCTTTTGGTGCCAACCTCGCCGGAAACAGACGATGACCGAACCGGGACATGAGGCATGCATGACCAGGCCAGGGTTTCCTCCTAGATGGCTTAGCTGATGGCTTGTCCTAAACTCGTGACAGCACGCTGTTTGGGCCCCAACCCAAATGCAACTGAAGGCCCTGAAAGTAACTTGCAAGTCTTGGTCTTAAGAGTCTCAAGTCTCAATACTTACGACCATGACTCATGTGACTGTACAAGACTATATACTGCATTCCGAATGGCCAAAAAAGACAAGCACTTGGGCCGCACCCATCCGCCTGGACCATACCCACCCATTTTTCCGGCCCCCAACGCATCGCCAGGTGGCCGAACGGTTCTTCAGGCGCCGCCTCTCCAAGCCCGCCATCTTCGACAAATGCGGCTCCAGCTGCGCATACCTCACGTGCTTTCGACGCTTTCCGAAGGTCCGAAACGTCGCGGTCTTCGCCTTGGTCTGACTTCAAGGTTGTGGGGTCGTGAAGGGTGTTGTGGGGGAACGCGCGGGTGAGCTGATCGCGGCTGGCGGCTGGCGGCGCAAGTCATCCAGCTTGGGATCGATGCCGCTCTGCACGTGCACCAAGCTCGCATCTAAGTCACCTGGTCTCGCGACCAGCGGTCTCCTTCATTCAATGTCCAGTTGAAAGGTGTTCATCAGACGAAGACCAACCAGCAGTGCCGTACTTGGCTGGTTTTCTCCCCAAAGTCCAGCCCTCCAAGCACTCTACAACAGTACTTGCTGGACCTTTATGGTGAGAACATGTGAGAACGACCCCGTGTTTTTCCCTCAGAATTCCATACCGGTCCATCTGAAACAGAGAGGCCCTTCGACCCCTTCAGCCGACCTTCCGAGGTTCATCCCCCAGAAATGCCAACCCTTTGTGCCTTCCGCGGGCGAAGGGCGCCGCTCCCAATCCACCACGCGCTGCAGCACACGCTCCGCTGCAGAGATGTCACCCATCAGGCCCTTGCCTGGAAGAGAGCCAAGAGTTGCATGTTCAATCATCTTCATGTCATTGGGGTTGTGCCTTCCCAGCGAATCCCCCGCAGAAGTTGGTTCTTCGGACATCAAAACCAAGAAGACGTTGGCTGCAAGGTCACAAGACAGCACCTTTCACAGAATTCCCCATCTTCCAAACTCGCCACTCTGGATGGTCCATGTCCAGAACCCTTGCTGACACCTCAACCGCCGCCCTTCGCCTGCTGTGAAGGCCGCCACGGGCTGATCACAAAGGCGACTCGCCTGTCTGGCTGGGCCACTTCTGCTCACTTGCAATATCTTGCAAGTTGTTGTGGTTGGCTGGTGGCCCGGTTGCCAAGCTAATTTGTATAAACGCAACCTCTTCGCCTTTGGATGGCGTCCCCCGGTTTGGTTTGGAAGGAAGTCGAGGGTGCCCCCTCTGTGATGCTGCGATGGCATCTCTCATAATCATTGCTTCCGTCTGTACCATGGTACCATGACATGGCCTAGACAGAGAGGCCATGATACCATGAATATCTTTCTTCTTTCGTCCGCCTTCTGAAGAATCTCCAAGGCCGTCGACATGTGTCCGAGGCTGGTCACCAACGAGCGCCAATCCACCATGTTGTCAAAGTTGTAGCCTACAGTAACAGCCGCTTTCGAAGGAAGAATCCAGAGCCTCCCCTCCAGGGACCGTCCCCAAGAGCTTTGGGTGTTTTTGTCCTGCGAATCATCACACCGGGAGATGTTGTTTAATTCAGAGGCACCCAAAAAGCCTTCGCTCCGCCAAAAAGCTCCGCTCATCTCCACTAAAAAAGCGACCATATCTTCCGCGCCACAGCGGTCTTCCAAAAGAAACCTGCACCACACATACACACATATATCCCTCCTCTTTTTCTCTCTCTCTCTCTCTCTCTGTCTCTGCATTCCAAGTGGCATCGATGCCTCAGTGGGTGTCCCGCCCGGGCATCGCTACGAACCATCCATCCATTGTTTTAGGTATTAATACCAGAACGCCCGTACAACGGGTGGGACGTGCTGTGAGGTGCTCTCGGAGCGGTGGCTTGGGAGACTGGGAGAAGCTCCTGCACCGAGGGCCCAAATGCATCACGATTGGTACTCAGCCATCCACTTGATCACTTGGTTCATTTCAGGTCCACAAACCCACAAACCACCTCGGCCCTGGAAAACACCAGTTTCACAAGACGAAGAAGGTCGTAGCGGCTTAGCGCCAGCCCATACTGCTCAATTAGATCTGTCAGCGAGGCACATGCGCGACAAGAGTTTGGGCAACTCCTGCGTCATCCGCAACTCCCGGTGCAGCTGCCGCACCTCGACCGGTCGACCGAGTCTCAGTGGCGTGGGTCGATGCTTCGTCACCACACGGTGAAGTAGGCGCGGCGGATTTGGAGTTCCGTTCCAACAGCTGGACGTGTTCCTCTTGAGTCCTTTCGGCTGGCACTACTTAGAAAGTGTTTAAAAGGTGACCTTTCGTCTTCTCAAGTCGCATCCCTTTCTTCAAAATTTAAGCAGCATAGAGCCCGAACAGCTTCAGCAGGATGTTTGCTGCGTCATTTCCTTGAGGATGAACAAGGGACAAGACTCCGCCGCGGCCAAGCAGTGGACTCCGGCCCCGACCCCCAAAAAAAACAGGTCTAAATGGGCCGACTGACCACCACAGCACCCGGACGAAACCCACGGAGCGGCCGAGAGCGAGCTGCAGTGGCGGAACACGGCCCGCGGGAGGCCAAACAGGACGTATCCGAGGTCATGAAGCCGAAAACAAGAAGAAATGAGAAGAATAGAATAATAGAGAAACACTTTCGACAGCATCAGGCTATGCGAAAAACAAAGGTCATCAAAAGTCAACAGAACATACTTGCTAGGCTCCACCAGACTCCACCAGACTCCACCGGACTCACAGAGCGTCCAATCGTCGAGCACCAACAACGCGAAGGGCGACGGCATCGACACACAGAGACCGGCACGGCATGCCACAGCATGAAAGGACAAACACCGAGAATGCGCAGGCCGGAACCAGGAACCTTGGCATCGTTCGGCATGTCATAAAAATCAAACATGAAATCCGCCAAGTAAAGTGGCTTCCTCCTCCAGATCCGTGATGTTCCATTGTCCTCCGCTTGATTGGTCTTTCCATAAAGACAGCTCGGCTGAGCTGGGCACCAGCTCGGCGCCGGAGCCCTGCAGAAGGGCCACGAGCTGCTGCACCCCCTCCTGCCGCTGCTCCAGCAACTCACGCCGCCGACCTCCGACGAATGGAGCGCGGCCGCCCGACGACCTCCGATGCGCCGCTTTGTTTGGAACGGTCTAATTGGTCTATGAAGGTGGCCATGGACTGATTCAGTGTGATGGGCCGGGTGTTCGGGGGGGGAAAGGGTCCCAAGATCTCTTCAGGAGTGCGCAGATCGGTCCTGAAGTCCATGTCTAGGATCTGGAAGTTGAAGGATTTCCTTCTCAGTTTGCCGTGAAAGGCGAGCCGCTCAGCAGTGCCCAAGGACCTCTGGGCCGGGCGGCCAGATCTGGGTTTCACCTTGCGCCGCACTCACCGGACTTGCTGCCCAGCGACTGGGCTGCCGGAGCCAGCGGCGCAGCTGCTTCTGGCCACCAGTGGAGGCCACCAGCGGCTCTAGCAGCGAATACACCGAGAGGCCCTGGCAGGTGGATGAGATCATTTTCGGGAAATACCAGTCTTCAAGAAACACCATAAATCGAAGACTCAGCAAGTGAAAACATGCCAGGGCCCCGTTTCGGGTGTGTCCAACAATAGCTGCAAGAAGAGGTTATAGTTATGGGGTGTCCATGAACCACCCCAAACCGGGGGCCCTGGTGATCATGTTGATCATCTATTGCAGAACTCGTAGAATCGAATTCAGTCCCAATGACCCAATGACCCATGGTGGCTTGTGGGTGTCTCCGAACCCGTTTTGACTTCCTTCTTTTCCTCTGTGTTGAGTGCATAATAGTTCCAACTCTTTCTATTTTGGCTGAGTCTTCACTTGGCTTTTCTTCACGTTGCTTTGGACTCTGATCGTTGCGGCAAGAGTGGCAAGAAGTTGAACCGATATATCAATGAAAGGGCGTTCAACTGTTCAATCAAGGAATGACTAGACTTGGAATGACCAACTTCAACACGAAAAAAACAAAACACCACACCTTTTTGGGCTCCTCAAGAACTCGTCTGGGCAGCCAATGGGGTTTGTAGAGGAGAGATCTGCCGGTTTGTCTATGTGGAACGTCGCTGAACTAGGTCGGGCCCTCCTAAATGATCCCAAAAGCTGCCTCAGAAGCCTTGTTGGAGACCCTCATCAACAAGTTCTGCTGCTCCTGGTGCGAAACTGGAAAGACAGCTGTTGGCTGGACATCTGCAGTTTGACATGATGCAAGCGATGGGGGCGAGAGTTTTGGAGGAACCCCGTGTTTGAATCACTGTGACGACAGTGCCAGTAACACGTGTCCATGCTACAGTCACTCGTGAACTGCCCTTGCAGCAGTCAAAGCAGCGAAGGAAAGGTGCAACTCCCGGCACCAAGCTTTGCAAACACTTGCAAACTACCATATGAATCCATATGATGTTGTTCCAATCAATCGACGTCACTCCATGACATGCCCATATAGTTCAAGAAATAGAACTCAAATCAGCACTTGCTTACCTGAGTTGTCATGTCACCGTGTCACCCACACAATCCCACACAATAAACTTGATGGGCCGACAATCAAGCTTGCAGTCCTGAAAGACCTGGAGAGCCATCATGGTTTGGGCATCGATAAACACCGTGTCGTCTGGTGAGAAGAGCCGGATGTCCTCCAATGCAACGTTGTCTGGAGAATTGAGAGGTGCTTCGTGCACAGACTCCCTAATATGAGAGATGATCCCATCCTGATCTACTAAAATCGGGAACATGATCAAACAGTTGTGTCAAGTCTTGAGATGCGAGCGGCGCTATGCTTTTGACATGCGGCATGCCAGGCTCGAGAAATATCCGCCGGCTCCGGCAGCTGGGGAGCGCGCCAGAGGAGACTGCATTGTGGGGCTTGGCAATGCGAGTAACATTGGTTTAAAGTGGTTATTGATACCATAAGGGTGCGCGAGGGTGGAGAGAGGTGTGGCTGAGGAGGCCGTTGCAGTAGTACCAGACAGGTTGCATGCTGGCCATAGCCAGGAATAGAGACTAGCCAGAGACAAGGTAGACTTTAACCAGCGCGAGAAAGCAACGTTTGGCACTGAGCCGGTGGCTTTTGAGAACGTTTTTCGCATCGTTTTAGATTGGTTATATAAAGGCGTGGAAGGGGGACAGGGGCTGTTCCAACGGTTTGTAGGCTGGCCATAGCCAGGCCTGAGACAATCTAAAGCAGCGAGAGTAGAGGTAGACTTTGACCGGCGTTGGAAAGCAGCGTTTGGCCGGGGTTTGGCTTCGCAAGCATGCATACAGGCGTCCAACCCCATTCTTTGTTCCTCTGTCCTTGCGGAAACTCCGTAGTCTGTCCAGTCGATTGGTCCTGTTCAGTCTGCGGTGTGTTTGTTACCGGCGCAACGCTCGTATTTGTTGCATGTTGTTTGTGCGTGTGCTTGCTGACAGACAAGAGTCCTAAAGGCGCCAATGCCAAGCCAAGTCCATGAAGTTTGGTTTTTCCATCGCAAAGTCCAAATTTGAAAGGCATATTACAACCATGTGGGGAAGCGCAACCTGACAACAACCGTTCACTAGTTGATATTGGGGTGATACGAATACTTGAAGATTGGAGCTCTACCTCCAAAGAATTGGGTCGATGGCCATGAGCTACGTCTGGATGCCGAGCTTGTGAGATTGGAAGCGACAAACATGTCAAGCGCTGCGTTGAGAGGCATGGTGAGTGGATGGGACAGAAATCATGTTCAAAAAGGGCTCTGGATCAGTGAGGTGCAAATCAGGTAGGTGTCTAGCAGCTAGCATAATTTTGCATATGTTGCATCAATATCATGATTCCTATATTATTAATATATTTAACAACCATAATTAGAAGCTAATGATTTAAAGTATTAATCAACGAAAGTATTTCAAGAAATTACAACAATGTTAAAACATGTTTTTGCATGTGTTTAGGATGTCAAATTGAACCATAATTTTGAGATCAACATCAATCGCATAAAGAAAGCTGTTTAAACAACGCTTTTGCACATGAAATGCCATTAAATAGTCACAGTCACATAATATACTGTAGTGAGACTCTCAATGTTCAGTGTTGATGACCTTTGCTGCGAGTGTCTGGCAACAGTTCTTGGGGAAACGGTCTTTCCCCTTTCACTGATTCTGATTTGGGTTGACTTGCTTTTGTCGTGGGGCGGGCGTTGCGGGGGCCGTTCCAGTGCTGGCCACGGCCGCCTCCGAGCGTGGTGACCACCGACACCGCACGTGTGGAGTGTCGGGCGCGCTGGGCACCGAGCGGGGGCTAATTTGGAGTGGCGTTGGTCTAACGGGTCTAACGCGGTTATCGACACGCAAGGGTGTGGCAAGGCTGGGGGGAGGTGTGGAAGGCCGACGGTTGCTATCAGCACAAGAAGCGACGGCTACGCAGCGTTTACGGCAAGGGCAGGACGTACGCTCTCAAGCCGATGCCTCGCTCTTACTTGGATGTATTCGTTGAAGATCAATGGAAAATCCCCATCACGATGCATAGAAGATCAAGCTTCCCCAATTCCATGTCGGGCATTCGATCGTCAACAACCATTCCATCACTTCCAAGGGGTCAGCAGCGGCGTCAGCCCGATTGGGAAGTATCAAGTGGTTCCGAAACAGGTTGCAGGCGTCGAACACTGAAGTGGGTCGCCTGCCCAAAACAGATCCAAACCCAAAAATCAGAAGAAAAAAGGTTTGCCTCGGAAACAGGGTTTCATCTATCTGAAGTGGACAGTTTGCTTTGCCCCTATTCCCTAAATGGATGTCGAACACAAAATCAACAGGAAGAGGATTATGAAAAGAATTGAAAAGATATGAAAAGCATGTATCTCATGGGCAGCAACAAAACACAGGTCAAGGTATAAGGCCAAAACAACATGTGAACATGTCCTGTCCGTTAAGAAATGGTTTCTCACCAAGATTGCCCAAGTGCTCCCCATATCCCCCAAACAAAGCATGCCATCGTTGAGTGAGGCGTCGATCACGGCCTGCACGGAAGGCCCGTGATTCTGCAGCTCCCCCAGGAGCGCGCCGTTCCTCGGGGGACCGACCGGTGACCGGTGACCGGTGACCTGGCCTTTTGGGGTGACGATGAAGTGGTTTCATGTGCTATCCAAGGTGTTTGAACAGGACGAGTAGTACTTCTTGATCAGTGGGTTCCATATGCTTCCATACTCAACATGGCTGGATGCTGGAATTATCCAAAAGACCACGATATCTCGGAAGCAACTGAGGTTACACATGATCCACTGCACCCAGCGTCTGCTCCAAGAACCTCAGCAGGCCGCCCCCGGCGCGCAGCATCTGCTCATTGTCGTTGAGCGCAGCAAAGAGGCTCCGCGGGTTGTGGTTGCCTCGACTCCAACGTCTGATCTGCGACACCAAATGGATGAGTACCCTACCACAGCTTGGCTGATGGTCCAAGACCAAACACAGATCATCTGCACGCAAATTGCACTGCAAAAACAACGCCTTGAATCCCCTTGACCAGAACCTTCCCTTCACCACCATAAATCCCGTTGTGTTTCAATGTCTTCCACCATTATATAACACCCTCCCCATGCACCTGCCCAACCTGGCCCCACCAAAAAAGCCACCAGTTCCCCTCTCCTCTCCTCTCCCCCCGGCGCCTCCCTGTGCCAGGCTCTGCCAGACTTCCCCCAGCCGCCGTCGAGCTCCCTCCGCGCCGAAGTCCGAGGCCTTCAACGTGGCCACCGGAAAAGGCTCCGCGCCCGGCGCCGCGCCCGCTGCGGCCGGCGGCGCGGCCGGCGGCTTCGGCGTCTGGGGCGGAAGAGAGACGGCTGTAAAAAGTGAATGATGGAGACCGAGCTCATGACTGTGACTATTTAGTTCTTAAGCACTGCTGACCATGCCTATGCTTTCTCTTTGATATGTAACTTTGATCCAAACCATTTCTGCCATCACATCCTCTATGGGCTTTGCTGCGCACGCGAGCAGCTCTGCAGGCGAGCGCGAGGGCACGAGGCATAGCCCGGAGCGTGGGCACCCAGGGCCCTGGAGCAGTTGGTGCTTCAAACCTAAGAGCGATGGCTCCACCCAGCAGATGCCGGCCAGATGCCGGCAGCCTGTCGTGGTTTTTCGCCCAGGGCCCACTATCTTAACTGCTCAAACCATGGCCAGCAAAGGCCAGCCCTTGCAAAAGCTCAAACCACTGCTGTTTTCGTGCTCTGCTCAGTTGCTCGTCGTGCATGAAAAAAAAACGAGGAGAGGCATTTCTTCTGGGGGCTCCTTCCGAACCTCGGGGCAACCCCTCGAATTGCTTCCACTCACTTCCTTCTCCGCCCGCGGAAACCCACCAGAGCCACGACCACTGCCACGACCAGTTCGCCAGGACTCGTCGCTCGGTCTGGGTCTGACCGAGGCACGATCCACGTGTTGGAACTCCGGGTCCGTGACCTCTGACAGCCACAGGGTCCTTCTGGGCGCATCCAGATCCACATAGGCCAGGCCCAATGGAGTGGACCCACGGGTGGTGCAAAGCGCGAAAAGAACTGAGACCTCGGGAGGAAAAGAAGCAGGAGACCTTGGGGCTTCAGTAGGAAGGAATGGAGGAAGTGGAGTTGACATCTTCAGTCAATTGAGTGGGGCATGAAGGTGCCGCTTCCATCTGTTCATCCACTGTGCTCCGGCCTCCGCCCAGGGCGCCTCCGGCGCTGGAGGCTCCAGCTCCATGCGTTGCCGAGCGCGGAATGGGGATCCAAACGGAGCACTGAGATGGCACCGCACTGGTGGATCGTCATGACCGGTTGGAGGGGTGGTGGATCTGCAAAGAGATCTGTGATCTGCACTGATCTGCTAGCAGCGTCCTTGCTCCTAGTAGTACGGCCAGGAGCCCCTAGCAGCGTCCTTGCTACTAGTAATTGTCAATGGGCGTTTGATCGGAAGGTTAACATCTTGGATCAACCTAACCCTCTTTGTCGGCCCTGCTGACCAAATTCCTGTTCGCACCCAAAGGCTTCACTCTTGCCATCAACGAAACAAACGAACGAACCCAGGTGCAAAATGAACAACGAAGAACACATCCGACAGCACGATCCTTGATACCTAAGAGGATCTAAGAGGCGCTAAGAGGATCACAGGACCCTAAGCCTAAGAGGATCATACTGCAGCATCCGATCCGCAAAGCATCAGCCTGGATCCATTCGCTTCACTTTTTGGATGCGCTCCTTCCATCTCTCTGCTCCCAATGCTTTTGAATTGGCGAAGAGATGGATGGGAAAAACATCACCTTCTCCCGCAGTTCAACCAGGATCGTCTGCTCCCTGGCTCCGTTGCGCAGCTCGTGAGTCGCCCTTCCTCCGTGTCTCGTTGAACCGTTGAACCGATCGGCCGGAAGGCGCTTCCCCCCCGGATCCGCTTTGGGATCTTGCGGTGGCAAAGAAGGAAAACGTCCCACCCTGCCGTGGTTTTGGACCTTGAAAAAGGTGCCAAAAAACCAACAACCTAAGATTGCTTCGGCATACCTGGACCTTCCAAGGTGTCCGAAGCCCCGCTCTGTCCCTGAAGGTGGCATTCCACACACTTGACCCCCCAATGGTAGGTCCTGGTACACCGCCACTATGGCACCAAATCTTCCAAGCAGGGACCTTGTAATGGGCGTTCTGCACCAATAGGCTGGATTTTTCATACTGACCATGCAAGCGTGATTAGGTGTTCCAAGTGCTAGGTGATGATTTTTCTCATTGGGTCTTCCGAGTGGTCATCTTCCAATGCTTGTAGGATCTTTCTCATGTGGGGTGACGGGGTTGGCTCTGGCGTTCTAAAAAAGGCTGCTCAGCCAGCTTGGTTCTTGGCGATGTGCTTCAGAGTTGGCTCGGGAACATCAAGCGCGACGTAGTTCTTCTTGTCCGTGACGCAGGGGTTCACAGCCTCAAGTGGCATCAACATCATCAACAAGTGAGCAAGGCATGGTGCCATAATGCAACTCGAGTCACAGAGATACACATTATTCATCGTAATTGGTTAGTGCATGTTAGTGCAGAACGTGTTTTGCTGGCTTTGCCCTTCATCCTTGGAGCCAGTCTCACCCTGTGCTTCGCGTGTGTTCGCCGACGTTCGCTGGCCAAGCCCGGGGCATGGTGCTGCGTCAGCAAACCACAGGTAGTAAGGGCAAGCTTCTCCTGTGAACACGGTCCGTGTTGGTTGATGTGAAACAGCTGCAGAAGTGTTCAAAGACCAACGGAAATTGTTATGACAGGTGGCCCCTGTGTGAAAGCACAATAACATAACATAACATGGAAATGGCTACCAGTACACTGGAACCAGGATCGACAAGTCCCATCAAGTGCTTTTTCCACAAACATGCTGCGTCAGCCTCGTGTCTCCCAATCTCCCAAGAGTTTACACCCACCAATTCACCTCGATCTTGTCCCCCCTCCATCGCGCGTGGACCACACCTGACCATTGACCATCCCAAATGACCCTCCCAGACCTCTCCGTCGTCCCGCTCCTCTGTCCCAGGACCAAAGTTCTGCCAATACCTGACCGAACTCCGCCGGGGAAGGGTCACGACGGCTGGTCCACCGGTGAAGCCACCGGTGCAACGTTGAGTTGATCAGAGAAGTGAAGGAAGGAAGCTCCAGACTAGACGGAAGACTTCTCTACAAACCATCAAGTCGCCCTGCCACAGCAAAAAAAACGCCTGCCAGGACTCGCCTGGCGTTCCTCCCATGGCACGAACTCTCTACTAATTCGAAGGAAAACAACCGAACGCCGTCACTCCCTCCACCGGGTGGCTCCCCGAAGACGCCGTGGGAGTCCGCGGGGTTCAGCTCACCCACCGTGAAGCCGCGCTTCGCCGCGCACACGGCGATGGCGTGCATGTCCTGTGCCGGTCGGAGCCGGTCGGAGCCGGTCGCTGCGGCGGACACCGCTGGGGATGCCAAAAAGGACTCCCAGAAGAAGAGACACCTGGCGAGATCTCCCAAGGTTCACGCTAAAGAGGGGCTGGGAGTGGGTTGACGTCTTCAAGTGCGGACATCGGTCGGACTCTGGCGGCTGTCTTTGGGCCGATGTCTTGCAGCACTCTGGCTACGCTCCGGCGCTGCGCTCCGCAGCTCCTGGTCCATCAGCAGTACCGGGACGTTGCCTTCGTAGCCCTCACCGAAGACCTGGCGGTTTAGAGCTGAGGGCGCTCACATCACTCAAAGGGGAGACTCCGTGAACTCGGCGTGTGATCTTTGGAGCATGTTGCGTTGCTTCAACTCATTCATTCGTCCTTGGTTGAAACTACAACCTATAAATGGGAATTTAATATTGAGATATGATTCATTTAATTAATGATTCAATGCCTTTCAACTCCAGTGTGGGGAGAAACCTATCCCTTGAGTTATCGTGGCCTCCTACAAAGCATGCTCTCAATTTGGTGAATAGCCGACCTTCTCATAGAAGTCGTACGTGTCATTCTCGTAGAAGATAGGCCTCAGATGCACCTTTGGTTTCATACTGTACGCAGCAAAGAAGTACGTTTGAAACTTGTTTGAAAGATTTTGAAAGTAATTATACACCAGTTGAAGTGTGGCCTTCCATTGATTGCGACAGGGTACGACCTACATGGCAAAGACATGTATGACGCACAGCTGCGCAGCTGTGCTTGGCCGTCTCAGGTCATTGTGCCATGGTACGGTACAAGTCCAAGGTACAAGGACAGCACCACCAGGCAAATATGCTTAAAGGTTTCCTCCTCCAAGACTTTTCGCACAGCCATGGCCTCAAGGTGTGGCACAGGGTTGGTTGTTGTGTATGTGTATTGAATGCCGAACAGAAGCGTGGCGACGAAATCGCCTGCTCCGACAGACGGCGCGAACTCGCCAGTGCGAACTCGGCCAACACCCAAAGAGGCACACCATGCAAAAGTCCTCTCAAAGGAACACCCACACTCCCCCAACAACTCACCATATTACCCAGACCACGGAATGAATGAGACACAAGGAGACATACACAATCGCGTGGAATACACATCCACCGAGCACGTCCATTCAGTCTCACCATGTCTGCAGTGCTTCGATCCCGGTTGACTGGAGCGGCAACGGAGCGGCAAAGACATGCAACCACCCTCATGTTCGGAGGGCGTTGTCACTTCCGAGAGGGCCGTTTTCGGATCCCCTCGGATACCCCCCTTTCCCCTCCGGTCCGGAGGCCGGCTTTTCGGTGCATTCCCCAGCGGCTGAGAGCTGCCGCACGGAGTGTCCAATGCCAATGGCGTCGCCGGCGAAGACGCCCAGGCCCAGGCCGACCTCCACCACCACCCGGATGCCTGGCATGGGAAAGGGTGCTTTTTGTGGGGCGCTTTGACCTCCACCTCTTTGGGGAAAGGGTGAGACTATGTACGTACCTGGTTGCTTGTTGCCGCAGGGACTCCAAACGCAATTCACCCGCCCACCACAAATTCACGTCCTGTGACTTAAAGAGTGATTGGGACAAACCCATCAGCAAGTCCTAGATTAGATGATATACAGTAGTATATGCATCGCTACTATAGTAACAAGCGCAGTACTACTAGTAGCAAATAGATGCACATAGCTACGTATAGTAGCTTCTTGCTACTAGTAGCGATGCACTTGTTCCTAATAGCGATGGAGATACATCTAAAAAACACCTTTTCGGGCTTTGTGCCATGCACTCTGTGTGGCACTCTCGCACTCCACACTCCAAACCAGCCTAGATCATCCTGTGCCCGCAGCCGCAGCCGGCACATCTTCTTCCTCATTGAACCAGCTAGGCCGTGCAAGGAGCGGTGCCAGTGCTGTAATCAGCGTTTCTTTAAGAATCAGGGTGTTCCACCCCTCTACGCAACTGGACGAAACCACATCAACCACCACATGGGCGCAACACCAAAAAGCGGACGGGACGACAACAACGCAGCCATCCCACGCACTGGGCTGAGGCACATGTCGAAGAGTGTTTTGGTGACGTTCAGCTGCGCCGTCTTGCCACTGAGCTCAAAGTCCCTCCCGTGCTTCACAGAGGGATACCCGTCCTCCTCGGAGAGTCAGTTTCAACGGAACGGACCACGGCCTGCGATGAGATAAACAAACTATTTCTTTAGGGTGACGGTCTCGGGTGACGGTCTCCACAGACCGCTCAAGAGAAAAGACCGCCTTTTGTTGGTCCTTTGAGGGGTCGACCGACGGCATCGATGAGGGGTCGACGGAACACCCACCCGATGGATGCCACGGAGGCCGTGGCATCCGTAAAGAGAAGAACGCGCATTCTTCCAAGCATCGTCGAAGATGTAGACCTCACGTGCGGTGCGGCATCTGCGGTGTTTTTTCTCGTACCAAGCGAAGAAGGTCTGGTCCAAACGAAGGTGAAGGTGAATGAACGACATAGGAGACATCTGTTGTTCGATTCAATCCGTCTTCAAACCAACAACAAACATGTATACTGTAGAAGGACCCCGCAAACCTGCAGCAGAAACCAGCGGATCAGTGCGAACTCTTCATTGTTCACTGCCAGGACCGAGTCTTCAACATCCAGGACCCAGTTGTTGAACCTGCCAACCTCAAGAGTCACTCCCTTTCCCCCTGGTCCACCTCCTTCCAGTTCTTGATGTAGTGGGTCAAGTCCACATGGTCATGCACGCGCGAGGCAAAGTCGATGCCACACACCGAGACCAGCCAAATCCGCGTCAAGACCTGGAGCGAGCGACACGACCCGACTGCCGAAGGTCTACGTCCACGGCACCGGGAACCCACGGGAGGCCACCGGTCGGTGATCCAGGCAGCTGCGAGATGCTGTCCGTGATCCTTTGTGCAGTCAAATGCAGACTGCATTGCCGGGGCATCACCATGGGTTCACATAAGAGTACAGCAACTATATGTATACTACTTCAACTGATATCATTATGGGTGGCGCCTCTAAAGCTTCAGAGATCTTCAGACTTCTGTTCAATCATGAGGGTAAATATTCGCCATAATTCTGTTCAAGCACTTGTCCAGAAGATCCCCATGCTCGGACCTCATCCTGCACTTCCCGTGGAATCACCCGCCCATCGAAGCGCATGATCACTGGGTTGTTGCTACACCTGCGTCGTGGCCGTCAGGGAGACTAGACGGTGTTCTTCAGGGAGAGCACTGACCAGGTAGGGTGGAGTGTTCGTGGAGCCTGCGGTGAGACAGCGTGTCGGATCAGCAGCGGACATCATGAGATGACTGGCGAGATGAGATAGGATGACTGAGATGATATCGAGATGAGAAGAGAGGCGAAGCAAGAGCAAGACAAAGTAACAGGTTGGGGGGGTCAAATCAGATGATACCAAACGAGTCCAAATGACTCAAATAAATTGCAGTATACATCTAATATCATCTAATTAATTATATATTATATAGCACACAAAGATGAAGTGATGATGAATCATATAGTATAAAAACATAGAGGTTGAGTCAAAACAGGAGTTGATACGTTGATGCGTACTGGTGTACAATGTGAAGCGCCATTAGGTGATGAGCTGGCATAAACCAATAAATACTAAGAAGATCTAAGAAGGGGAAGCCACCATGCGATCTACAGCCTCCCTATCCTTCCAAGCAACCACACCTCAGCCGGTGTGGTCAGCACCACAACAACTCTCTCGCGCCTGATGGCAAACTTCATCTTCCAGGCCTCTTCACCCGCCTGGCGCAGCTGCCGGTGAGCGAGCACGCCCCGGGCGAGATCTCGCAGCTGACGGTGATTCTCCCATCACCGTTGGGCCAAGCCGAGTGCGCGGCGTGCGCGACGTGCGCGACGTGATTCTCGGGGTCTCGGGCCTCGGACTTGCCCTGTAAGGATTGGCTCACAAGGTCTTTGCCTTCTTCGCCCTGGTAGATGTCCGCCGCCTGGGTCAGTGCTTCTTTCAAGCAGCGGGTGGGTGAGGAGGCGATGGGGGGCGGTTGGCGGAGGCGATGGGGTCCGGTTTGCCACTGACGGGCTGGACCTGCATGGGGCGAGTTGAAGAAGCTGCGCACAACATCTTTTTCGGAATGGGCTGTGAAGGAGACCACCAGTGTTCTTGACACATTCCAAATATACATAAAAGGTGACCTATCACATGTATTGTAAGTTGATGTCTCATGATGTATCTGTCTCCCAGCACCACCGGCACAAAGAAGGCTAAGCGGCTAAGCGGCTAAGCCTGCATCTGAAGCTTTACCGGTCTTTACTGGTCTCCGGCTTTTTCTCCGGTTCCTTCCAGTTGCCATCTCCAGTTCTACCGGGCAAGCCGGAGCTTGCGAGCTCGTATCCCTCTGATGGCTAACTTGTCAACAACAAACAACAGCCACAACAGGCCAGCAGAGTCCACCAGAAGATCTTGATCCGGCAGTCCATAAATCAGATCGCAACCCAGCTGGGTGCACCCACGTAGTAGGTGCGGAATGAGGATTGCCACTGCTTCACCTCCTTCACCGATGCCTTGAAGGAGCAGGGCAGGCCTCAGGTGACGTCGCATCGTCCGCGCACCCCGTCCCACCGGTCTGGCGCCGGATAGGCCGTGGCTCGAAATCGAATTCGGGGTGACGTCAGGGCTCATGAGTTCAATAGGGCGATTTCAATATGGTGAATAAACCAACATGCTCCTGTCATGCTGTAATCTCATGAAGTTGACCAGAAGCAGATTCCAACAGCTACAGTGCACTCATCACTAGCACTCCAGCCATACGTAGTCATTACCCAATCAACCAAGGAGCCATCTTGGCCCACTCCTTTGTAAACCAGCTCCTGCATCGGACACCACGGGCAGTGGGTCCTTTTTTGGCGTGTGTCGCATCGCAACGCTGCGCGGACATGCAACGCGGGGCGACACAGAGTGGGCCTGCTCTCAGATGAGGAAGGCTCACGTCATGTGAATTCAGTGAACTTCGACATCTAGGCCTTACAGTCCAAGTGGATCTAATACATGGCTATGGGCCGCCATGGCACCCCCGGTTGCCAAAATGAACAGACTCGGAGGTCATGGGAGGTCCACCTACGGCGAGTTCCGGGTGCACCCAGGACCCGGAAACGTGCCGCAACGGTTGGGTGACGTGGACGTGACCGGTTTTGGTCCACATCTATTCCGGTCCTTCATCTAACCATATCTGAACCACCAAACGTATAACATCAAAATAATGATATAGACTCGTGGGCTTGTGCGTCTCTTGGTATGTTTCCCATGGGTTTTTCCCCGCCCGGGTTTTCGGGGGGTCCTTCTCCTCAGGCTGTTCGTGCAAAGGCGTGGGGAGCTCAAAGGCCTTGACGCCCTGCACGAAGTACTTGTGCGCCAGTGGCTTCATCCCTACCTGGCTGTCGACAGGTCCAGGTGAGGGGGCCGAGCATCGTCATAGCCCGTCCCAGTGGCCGGCCATGGCCGCGGAGTGAGAGGTTTCTGTCGCATGTGTGCGCGAGGCCGGGCGGGCGCGAACTCTCGGTTCCGCTCGCGACTCCGAAGTCGGCACCTCGTCCATCATGAAGTCCTCCATGGCCAGAGTCTGAGGAATGCACTTCCCACCCATGGTCCTTGCGGCGGAGGATGGCAGCCGCATGATCCGACGACAGGAAACGGCCAAAGACTCCGCTCACTTGGGAAGTCTCACGTGGCTGGTCCTCTTGTCCATCTCCGGCAGCGTCTTCAGCTGTTGCATAAGCTCTTCTAGCTCTCTCGTGGGGGAGGACACCTGAGCCGAGCGCGCATAGGAATTCGGCAAGTAAAAAATATATGGATTGCATTCGATTTGTCCAAGTCTTTAGTGCAAGAACATCTTGGACGGCAAATTCCAGGACAAGAATCAATGGCACGAATCCTATGTGCTGTTCACATAGGGGTCCCAATCAATCCCAATCATCGGTGTCACCCTTCAACTCCGCCGTAATTGTAATATATTCTTCCTTTCTAGAATCTTAGCTGCAGCACAGGGCCTTATATAGATTCCACGAGATGTGGAAGCACCGAAACCACAAAGCCGTCATGGCACTCTGCTGGTTTCCGTGCCGAAGATCGCTTTTGGAAGGCCAATTTGCTCTTGCTTAAGATGCTTAAAGCCCACATCCCTACTCAAACAACAAGAGAGACTAAGAGAGCTGTCAAGTTCTTCGGCCTTGGGTGAATTCGTTAAGGACTTTGACGCTCAGCCAGACCATGAAAATCCGCGACCCCCATGACTGCCAGGCCCAGCGACCCCCAAGAAGAGCCGGCACCTGACGGTCAAGCAGCAACCGACTCCAAAGCCACGTGCAGAACTCTCTGAACTGTGTCTTAAGATCTGGTCTCTCTTCATGTTTCTTCAGTTTCCTGGAAAGTCTGTGGCAGCACACAGAAATAGGACTGCGCTCCTCTGAATCTATGACGAACATGAAAGAATGCCATTTGACCTGACCAACCTTCCACCAAGCCCACCCAGACCCAGGACCCAAGAACCAACTTGTCTAAGCCTAAGCCTTCACTCCGCTCGCTCCCCTTCATGGCCCTCCAAGCCTGGGCGGAGCGCCCTGCTCCACTGGCGGCAAGGCCATGTGCTCGGGAAAGTCCTCGGGGGGCTCCACCTCCGACAGGTCCCAGTCCTTCTCCTGGAACTTCAGCAGCTCCTCCACCCGGTCTGTTCCATCCGTCCCAGCAAGGGAGAGACTGGATCTCGACACCTTCCAGGAGATCCCTCCCGGGTCCCTCCCGAAATCTTCAAGAGAAAGAACTGAAAGAACCAGATACCTTGAATGAGACACTGGTGAATCTGCTGATGAATTCAACCAGCACCCCACATGCCTCTTCCCCCCATCCTGACCAATCCGAAAGACTCGGAAAACCGCTCCGTCCTTTCACAGCGTTTGCTCGACCACTGGCGGTCATGGCTGGGTCATAGCACTGGGGGGGACCTTGCTTGACCAAGCGAAATGGGCACTGGGCACGTCAACCTACCAGCGTGAGTTCTGGGCTCCGGGTGCGCCAGCGCAGTGCTCGCATCTGGCTCCTCCACAAGCCAGCTGGGGTCCGTCCGCGAGGGCAAGGAGAGCTCCTTGGAGCCGGACGAGCGTTTGCTGGAGGCGGCGGGCGGCAACTGTGAGAGCTGGTTGAGGTGCTCGAAAGGTCAAACATGAAAGTACATGCATATGATACGTATTATACTAGAAAAGTAAACATGCCACCAGCAGCACCACCGATTGACCACGATTGACCCATTGATTCCTAGGGCAATCCTTTGATGATGGGCAATCCTTCGCAACATCATTGTTGAGTAGTAAACACATCAGAAAGTCATCAAGGCTCTACCGAGGGGTGGGGGTTGAGGGCTGATCGAACCCAACTGAGTGCTCCTAAAAGAACCTGATCAACCATGGAGTTCTGCTCTGTTACTTCAAGCGCTTCAAGCTTCTTCCTCTGACCCACCCAGCTGGCGCTCTTCCCCACCACCACTTCCGGGCAGCGGACGTCGAGGTCGTCGATGAAACCGGCGGCGGAGAAGAGCCAATCGCAGCCCCTCACCGATGCGGCACTGAAGAGCCGGGACGCGCTCGGGTCGACCGATGGCTGCAATTCAAAAGGGGGGGGGAGGGGGTCCAAAGGGCTCCGAGAAAGGGTTTTCCGGTGTTTGGGGGGATGAAACCCCATTGGACCAATGAACCACTCGGCTCTTTTTGGGTCTCAGTTTCTTGGCGTCTGAACTGTGGATCAACCACCTCCCAAGGTCTCGGACTCTGAAACTGACATTCTGCTTGAGGGCTTGGAGACCTGTTAAAATGCTGTCGTCTGAGGATCTTCCTCCCGAAGTTCCAAGAGAAAGAGATGATATCGATGGATCCGCGTCACCAGTCCTGGAGCTTTGGCAAGTTGTTTGGGATCTATATATATATATATATATGTGTTTTTCACAGGTAAGTCGTTGCCAGTTCCGAAAAAGAGTCTTGGAGTTCCTGGACCCTGCACTCCTCCAAGACTTCCCAGATGGCCTGGTGGCAATCAGACTCTTTCCTGGCAGCTTCTTCAAGCGAGCGAGGAAAGAGAAGCACCAGCACCAAACGGTGGCAGAATCCTCTCAGACCCGAGGGTGCCCAAGTTTACAACCTCTGGGTGGGGCCAGAAAGAATTCAATTGCAAACAGGTCATCTCTTGCAGTGATTCGCTCGGCATGCTCCAACACGTCTCGCCTGTTCTTTTTCAAAGGGGTATACAGTATTCACTCCAACATGTTTCGTGGATGTGGAAAGAAGCCTGCTCGCAAACGAGACTTTGGGGGGGTGGAATATGTCTTTTCATGTCTTTTCCACTCTTCCATCCATCCCAGTCCTAGTCGGAGTGTTTCCAGCACCGCACCGATCGCACTGTCTATTGAAACGCTGTTTCTTGATTGTTCGCCAAAGATCTCAGCAAGAAACTCAAGAACCGACGCGTCCAACAGTCTCCGTCACCGCCGTCACCGTCCTGGCTCCTCGTTGCAGCTCAAGGTCCGTGCACGAACATCCCAAGGCGCCTCACTGACGAGCACTGGAACGTGCCCATGCTTTTCTGAACACCAAGACAGGCACAGTTCCAAGCGGAGCAGCCAGGCCACCGCAAGGGACCAACCCCTAAGGAGTCATCATCCAAAAAAATGTGGTTCATGACTCCATGACTGATCTCTGCCTCAAAATGTTGTTCTAGAATCGATCAGAAAATTCTGATCAGATCAACTGGTCTTCCAATGTCTTTCTAATACCTTTCTTCCCCAGTCACCTGCACGATCTTTTGGAGCACCGACAACATCGACTCCAGTGCTTTCCTCCTGTGGGATCGACCCGATGGGTGAAACCCGGTCGATGGGTGTTGCGCCGGCGATGGGTGGCAGGCGCCTCTGAGCCAAGTGGTATCGAGCTAAAACGGTGACCTCCTGACTGGTGCGACTCGTAGGGAATGAGGGAATGAGCCCCCATAGAGATTCTCTTGGATCCATTCCCTCATTCCCTGCTAAGCACCAGTCAGCCTCTGATGGTGATGGTTGTCATGGCCACACCTCATGATGACACCTGACTTTTGGACTTTCTCTGTCGCGTGAGATGCAAAAACGGCAACGGGTCCAAAGACGCAAGGAGTCACCGCCGACACCACCAGGCCCACCTTCTCCCAACTTGCAACGGCTCTAGCTTGCGGACTTCTTACCAGAGGAAGGGTAGAGGAAGTTGAGGGGGAAGGCACAAGGACCTGGCCCCCCTCTTCCCTTGAAGTCGCGAGCCCAAAAGGAGCGACGCGGGAGCTCCTTTCGGCTTCCGGCACGGCGCAGAGCTCCCGCAGACCTACCAAGGCCTCGACCTGGATGACATGCGACAGGCGAAGCACTCCAGCTGAATTTTTTGATGTATATATAGTCTTAAATGGCTTAGACACAACAGATCTCGTAAGGGGGGAATCATAACAGGAGAGACTCAATCTTCACCTGCACTGGTGCAGGCTTCTAGGTGACTTCTTGGCGTTCTTGGGACGGCTTGCCGCTCTCTGCGATCGGAAAAGCTCCGCCTGAAATCGGAGGCCGTTCGACAGGTCCTTCACCGTGCGACAGAACGCCGCCTGCGGCGGGAGACGGGGGACGCCGACGGGGGGAACCCACCCACAAGTGAGGGAACTGTGCCTGTGCCTGTATGCTTACAGTCTCCCTTCTTTTGATGATGATCTTCCTAACATGGCACTGCAACATACTGCAACTGTGTTTTGTGGTGTACACTCTGGCACATAGCTGCTCAAGTGCGGAGCACCGTAGGTCATAATTATATATAGATATTCAATGTTCACAACAGATTGTCTTTAGGAGCGTGCTGCTTCACCACACACACTTGAGCTGCAGTGCTGAACCATGCTCAAGAGCATGTAAATCAGAACTCGGCTTGTGCAGCACCGCCTGGCCGCTGCCATCGGAGAAGAGCCACCGGACGAACTCTCCGTATTGGATCTTGCCGTCGCGGTTGGCATCAGCCTGGACCCACGAGCAAGGTCTCGTGTGCTGAGATGGAATGATGGACGATCATGAAGCCAGATGCAGAGTGGCCAGAGACAGGTCAACATGCGGAGTGGCCCAACGGTCTGCCGTCGGATCAGCTTTCGGCGCCCCCCTCTCCGGTCCAAAGGCTCCGGAGGTCGGAGCCACACCCGCCGCAGCGACGCTCCGCGGCTCGATCCGCGCCTCCCGCAGAATCTGATCCAGACGCTCGTCCGTCCACGTGAGATCATCTAAGGCCTCCAGCACTCGCCCAAGCTCCTGGCCAATCAGGAAGCAACGCTTCAAACTGTGCCACCCATGTCATGCCACGACCACTGCCGCGATGTCATGCGATTTGATTTCGGATGTCTACAGTTCTTTTTGATGGTCGAAAGCTCAAAAGCGAAGCTGAAGATGCTGAATTTAAATGGAACCGATCAGGTCCTCGCGCTCGATGACGCCGTTGCCATTCCTTGGAGTGGGACGGCAGAATTGTCCAGCTGCCAGGAGTCTTGCTGCAGTTCAGCTTGGTGGAACCTTGTTAACTGTCAGGAGTGGTCTCTGATGTCTAGATTCTAGATCAGTATGAGTCGAGCACAAAAAGCACCAGGCTCACTCAACTTTGTACGAGGATGTCGTCTACAGTTCAAACAAAACAGCTTCCAGGAATGACGTGGCACGTCTGACCTTTGATGGCTTTCAGCGCCACCCTTTCGACCGCCCTTCACCCGCGATGGAGCGTCCGATCCAGCTGTCGGAAGAGCTCAATGAGCCGCTCGCCCGTGGCCATGGCGGGGCCAACGGAACGGCTCGGACACGGAGGTCTTCGTCGGGACGGGACGGGTGGATCTACCGAGGGGGACGGATCTAAAACTGACGGTGATGGTCGCAGGTGGTCGGGATGGGAAGCGGAGTGAGGGTCGCCCCGTGTGTTCGCCCCGTTTTTTCCGGTCCATTGCAATACACCGGTTCCTTTTTTTGGGGGGGAGGGGGGAACTTGTTCTTCCAAAAGGATCATTGCACAGGAAACCAGTGTGTGCAAAACCGGCATCGCCGGAATGACTTTCGTATTTAAGGTCACACAGAGTTCATGATGCTCGCAACAAAGAGATCGATGGAATCCACTTGATTGCCAACCCATCCACTTGAGGACATCTCGGTCCAGCTGTCTCGAGAGGTCGCCTGGAGCCAGAGGTCCCGGATCTCCACCCGCGCGTCGGTACCGGATGGCCAATGTTTACTGTCAGATTCTGATGGAAGGGAGACATGGACTGCCCAAGTGGTTCGTGGCCCCCAAGAAGTACATGTCACCTTTAAAGCAAAACTTACACTGCCAGGGTTCATATCAAACTCTTCAAACTTCCAAGTCGAGGGGCCTCCACTCTTCAATCCTAATTTATCTGAGCCGGTTGGAACACTGCACTGCACTGCGCGCCGTATGCTCCTCTTTTCCGCCCACAGCTTGGCATTCTTTCGCGCTGTCAGCTCTGGGATTTTTGAAGCTAGAGTCTTGCACTAGGTCATCTTCTTTGATTTTGGGGATGAAGTGCTGCACATGTTCCTTCAAGAAATCTATATATATATATATATGTGCTCAGTAGAACCTCTCCAATGAACATCGAATTCACCCTTACATCCGAGGGACTTCATTGGGCAAGTCGAAAGGTCCCACAAGACTTCCGGGTGTGAAGAGGTGCGGCTTTTTGGAGCGGCCACCAATCCCAGTACACCGGACCTCGGACGACACCCCTGTCGAAGGCCCACTGCTTCGGGGTAACTGTTAACTCTCTAACCCCCTGCACTATATATGTGTGAAGACATTTGAAGCCTGTTTCACGGATCTCAAACTTCTGGGTGCTTCATGGACGGGGCATCAACAATCATATCCCAGGAGCACATTGCAACATGATGCAACACTCCGGTTTTCGTGTGTTCTCCATATCCCAAAGCTCGATCCCGACCGCTCAGAAGCTCACCGCTCAGAAGCTCACCTGGCACGCGGCTCCAGAAGCTGCCGGAGAATGCTAGGGCCGGCTTTGGGGATTCAGGGGTTTGGCCTTGGCCTTGCAGTTGAGCACTCGAAGAAGAAGTTCTAATGATGGCGTCCTTCGATTACACCGAGGAACTACAGTAGGTACTGGGAGATCCTTTCAGTGCATGTTTCCGTGCAGTATGCCTTTGTGCACGGTGCACATGCTGCAAACACATGGAGGTGCGGCCAAACGATTCATTGAACTCAAGGTGCTGTGTTCTAGACAAGAAGAACCCAGAGTACGAGCTGTTGAATAAATGAAAACACCAACAAATCACAAATAACATTGAACTGCATAATTTCACAAGTTTGGTTCTTTGTTGTCTTGGAACTGTCTTTCTTCTTATCCCGTGTTTTCGCACAGGCTTGACACTATCGTGGGTAGTGTAGAAGAAGTCAAAAGGAACGCAGTCTCACCGCGTGTTCCCCGGGCCTTCAGTTTTTGTGCCAGGAGAGGCACTGCTTCGACGGCTCCGCGTTCGTCGTGCCGACGGCGGAGCTCCAAAGGTCACAGCCTCGGCAGGTGCTCTCCCGCTCCGCCCGCAAGGAGCCCGAGCGATCTGAATCCCTTTTGGGCCCTATATAAAGGAACTCTGAAAAACATATAATACTTCAAATCATCGTCCTCTGAACCTGCAAACAACGGTCTCCGTTTGCCTCCCATCAAGGGCCAAACGGATATCCGCTCGCGAGAAAGCAGAAGCCTCACCAAAATTATGTGTATGACCGATCTGCTCCCAAATCCTTCGAAAAAACAACACACCAAGGGGCGTTTCTTTGCCGCGTCGTACTCCACGCCTGATGCTGTTGTCTTGCACAGAAGGAGTCGTCAAGTATCAGTTGGAACATGAAAAGCCTGGACGGTTGTTGAATATCTTTCTTGATATGTCCTATTCATATGAAACAAATCTCTCAAGGGCAACTGCACCTTCTCATACCTTAGCCTTCTCTTACCTCGCCTTGGACAAATCTAGCTCATATGATCTCATATGTGTTGATTTCGAGGAATATGTCTGTCTTGGGCTGTTGACATGTGCAAAGAAACTCGATGGTACACTGCCTGGCAAAACTGACAAGATCTGTACATTCAGGCAATGGTCAGCAAGTTCTTGCAATTCATACACCCCTGCTAGATTCTGGACCTCTTACAGTAGTAATCTGATGTTCCAAGGTTTTCCATGTGAGATGTTCAGATAACAGTCTGACAAAAGAGTTGAAAAAACGCAGGGGAGGTCAGACCCCCCAGAGTGTGTCTGCCCACGTCTCTCCTTCCTCACGTCTCCGACCGCCACCGACCCGCCGCCGTCACGCCGCGCCTCGACAGCCTCCCCTCGTCTCGCAGCCGCGCTTGCATTCGTCCAGCGTCTGGCCGGCCAGCACCTGTACCGCCGCCTGCGGCACCTGCCGTGGAACGAGCGAACGAGCGAACGCCGCCGCAAAAGGCGGAGGACATGTTCTCAGTACCTGACAGGAGTCCTTCAGTGGAAAGGAGTCCGACCAGGTTTGGGGGAATTTGGAGACAAAGCCGGGTCAAGGAAACGAAGCTGGAGGATGGGCACCCTTTGATGCTTCACGGTTTGTGCGGGTTAACATTCGTTCAAGAGGTCCCTGGTCAGGTCAGCATAAACCAAATTGGCTGGTAAAACATGGTACTTGCGCCAACGTCCGCCACAGGGTTAACCCTTGGCGTTTTTCCACGTGAGCAGTGAAACACCCTCATGGATAGAAATGATGAGAAATGGGCCTAAGGATACCGACACTCGGTGATTTTTCGCTTTTCTCCCCTCCAAACCCGCCGACTCCCGGCCAGCCCCCGAGTGCCCCCCGAAGCCAACCGTCCCCACCCACCGTCCCCGGGCACCGTCTCGTGCAGCGCTCCGATGGCAATGCCGGAGAGGTGAACGTGATGCGATTGGCGAAAGAAGTCAAAGATGAGCTGGCCTCAGAAGGCGGAGCACGGAAGATCACAGGCGATCACAGCCGCTCAGCTGGAGCGATTCCGAAGTGGTCGAGTGAGTGAGGGATCAATGTCCCCATTGCTTCATTTTTGAAGTGAAAAGATAGGGTTCTCATTCTTGGATGTTCCTGGTATCCGCCGACCCCTGTTGAAGCAAGGGGGAGCGCGCAAGGGAATACGGAGTTGCCGGGGGTGTCCTACCCTCCGCCTGTGCCAAGGACAACTTTCCAGGGACACAGGGTTGAAGGGAACATTAAGGTTGACGATGTCCATGCCAACATTTTCCAGGGACATCGGGTTTCAGGACACACGAACACAGGGTTCAAGGGAACAGTAAGGTTGATGATGTCAGCGTGGCGAAGCAGATTGCCGGGAGCCTTGGAGGGAGGGTACGAGCATGGTGTTGAGGGTACGAAGTGTCGGAGTGTCGGGCGTCTTGGGAGACTGTGTATTGTGGCCGCTGCTGAGATAACAGCCAAGCCGAAGTGGGCTGTGAAAACGGGACCTGGGGCCACGTCCGGCACCGCAGCCAAGGCACTATAGGTTCGTTGAATCGAGCCGCAGGAGGCTCGTTTTGGAATTGGTGTTCGGGGCCAGGATTGGCGCAAGAAATGAAAGAAAAGTTCTTTTTTTAATAGGGATTCAGAGGGAGCGTTTGGGAGGGAAAGTGCAACCAGGGCAGGCTCGTTTTGGTCTTGAATTAGATGGTGGAAAAGCGTGGCGAAGCAGATTGCTGGGAGCCTTGGAGGGAAGGTACGAGCATGGTGTTGAGGGTACGAAGTGTCGGGAGTGGTGTCTTGGGAGGGGGTCTCTTTGGAGCCCCTCTTTCTACACCAGAAACCATTGCACGCCACCTTTCCATTCTCCACCCCAAAGAAATCCTGCGTCTCCGCCCAGGGACGTCTCCGAGTCTTCGGACCCAGGTCTCGCAGTTTTCGTCTTCCCCAAGTCACTCGTCTAACGCGCTGGTACTGCCCGGCTGCAGGCACCAACTCTGCCATCCTTGGCTTGACACGGCTCGTGTAAGATTCTGCTTTCCTCGAGACCTCCAAATTACTATATACCTTCATCTTTACTTTCCCCACCTTCCCTTTCGCTATTCTTTGCTCCGCCGCGCAGCTTTGTTTCTCTCGGTCTGTATCTTTTTTTTCGTCCCTATTTCTTCTCCTTCTGTCTTTGTCTCTCTCTTTCCCTCTCTCTCTGCAAACTGACAAAGGAAATACAATCAAAACCAATGAAACCGAGAAGACGCAATTCAAATTACCTGTCTTTTTCTCTGGGTGTGAATTGATTAGACAACTGCAAAAATATCTCCTTTCGGCATCTTTTCATCAGCGCAGGTCACGTGGCTCAACTTCGTCGACTGTACATTCTCTGAACATTCTGTTCTCGAGTCGTGTTCTCTGGGCGAGGAAGGCACCAAAGCAAACAAGTCGTGTTCCAAAAAATACGCACAAGTCGTGTTGTTCCAAACACAAACCATCCGAAAACCACAGAGCACTCAGATTTCTGTGGCTCCTTGGGACATTGGCTCTCAGCTCAAGGCGTGAAGTGGGCCTGCCACGAGGCACCAAAGCAAAGAAAAAAAGTGAAAGAACATTAGTTAGTTAGACAGTTAGTTAGTTAGTTAGCTAGCTAGCTAGTTAGTTAGCTAGCTTGTTAGTTAGTTAGTTACTGGCAATAGTAGCAGTCAGTAGTGGTACTGGTATAGTAGTGGCAGTGATAGTAGTGAAAGATAGCAACATCTCCGACCCCCAGAGATTCTCGCAAGATTGGACTGAGTTCTGCATGAGGTGGCTGAGTGAAAGGTTTGTTTTGGTTGATTCAACAAGAGCTCGGATCATCATGTAGAACATATTAGAAGATGTCGGAACATGCTGCATGCCGCACTGCATGCAACTCAAGGCAAACTTAGAAAACACTACGTCGCTTTCAGCTTCACAAAAACAATTCTTGCGACTCATGAAAATCCGTTCTTTTTTGTTCAGCTGCGTGCCTCCAGTCGCATTTCCTATAGGCACATGCATCCTCGGAACATGCAAAACACCTCACGCAGGAGCCACGAGCCTGTCGCTGCAAATCTGCAACGCAAACCAACACCGGCGACTGGCGCAAACGTTTCTCCACTTCCTGCGCCCAATGACTTCGGCCGACAACAGCTGTGGTGACTTCGGCCGTAGACTTCAGGTGACTTTCCAGTGGTGGTCGAACACCATAGCAATTGAAGAACAGTTTTTTGCGCCCTTTCAAGTGTCCTGACCGACCAAGCCGTTCATTGAAACGACTTGGCAAGGCATTCGGACAAACCGAAGATTGCACAAGCAGAATTCATCCGTCAGGTCACGCAAGGTTTGTCACGCAGCCTTCAAACTGCCCTATGAAAAAAGGATCCTCATTGTGACCCAGATGATGAGGCCATTCGCTTCAAGCAACAACAACCTTCCAAGCCAATAACAAAACACAGGTCCTTCAGTCACCACCAGAGCATGCCATAAATCAAGTATTCGTATTATTCCCTGGCCTTGTCCCATTCCTGTGTGGCTTTCCAAAAGACTCGTAGCTCTTGCAGCTTGTTGCGCAGGTCCTCCATGCGCCGATTCGGAGGCCTGTCGTTGCTTCGAAGACAGCCATGACCCCAACCGTGCATGACGCACGACCACCTTAAATTGATACCTCCAGTCACCTAGATCGGTTGATTCATTCCAAGCTAAACTGATCTTAGAGTAGGGATTTGTAAAAAAAAGGACCCTGCTGGGTTGCCCAAGCAATCCCAACAAAAACCATGAAACCTTTGTTTTGGGTGGATCACTGTGAACTCACATGAATTCAGCATGTCGGGCAGTCCATCCACCAGCAATCCGTCTGGAAGTGAACCAACACCAGGAACCCACCAGGTCATGCAGATCAGTTTTTCGGCATGCCCCTGCGGTCGCTAGACATGTCACAACACCAGTCTGGTGCGGCTTGTCGACACGTCGTGGTCGGAAGGAGCGGCAAGGGTCCAGCTGGTCGGCCCTGGTCGGCGAGATTTGGAAGTCATGATGGGTGGAAAGAGCTTCTGGACTTGCAATCAAATAGAGAGAGGTGTCCAGATGGAACATGTGGAACCCCTGCAAAGAAGCAACAAACATAGACCAAAACCATCCCAACCCCCAAGGGTGGTTAGAGGGTGTCTCTGATGAAAGTACAAATCCATTTAGCTTCCCTCAAAAAAAGAAGAGATGAAGCTTACAAAGGTTGGACATCTGACAAAGGTTTCTCATCTTCTTTAGATCAAGAGACTCTCCAGCTGGCGATGGCGCTGCTCGAAGCCAGCCAGCACTGAGTCCACATCATGGAAGAACCCAGGTCGCTTGAAGTTCCGGCCGAACTCGGCAGCCGCGTTCGGCAGTGGCCGTGACCACGGACATGTGGGACACGGTTTCAGTCTCACATTCTAAGAGTATCAAAATCAACTTGTGGAGATCGGACATGAAGACAGTACTCAAGTCAGGACTAGAGTTACCAGAGTCAGCATAAGTATCCCTGAGTCTACTTCTAGTCTGACCTTCAAAAGCAACAAACACTGCACTGCAGAGAGTGTCCCGGACATCGGTACAGCAGTACATCGGTCGCCTGCTGTAAGTTGGAGTGAAGATGACGACTTTGCCTGCGCCAAAACTTCACTCAAGGCATCTCAACGTCTCAAGATGTCCAAAAGGCAACACATACACCGCAGAACAGATTTAGCCAATCTTTGGAAGAAGCTCCTGGAATGGAATCACGAACACTTGAACCCCCTTTCTGACTGATGATTCGATGATGCTTGCTGGCTTTGAGTCGGTATTTCCCGAGGCCAACTCCGCAATTGGAGGGAGGAAACTCAGCAATTGTTTGGCCACCCCGAAAGCGAAAGCCGCATCGTCACATCGTACCTCTTCCAGCGACACGCGTGACTGGATCTAAAGGCGTGCAAGACATGTAGCGTGCCTCTTTGGTGGTCCACCTGATTGCTACCCCATGTGACAACCTCCAGACGTCGTGCTCCCCAAAAAACTTGGCCAGGCTGCTCTTCTATTGATTTATTCCACTCGTAGAGTGGGCCCCCCAATGTCCACCAAAACACGACAATACAAGCAATGCGAGGCGGCAATTCGTGTTTTTTTGGTGTATATAACAAAACAATGAACAACAACACGGCCGAAACAGAGGCTCGCATTTTTTACATCACCGTCTTGCTCGTTTCACGTCATGTTCGCATCGTTTCCATGCTTCAATTGAAGAAAGGTCCCCACAAAGCTTTAAAAACGTTTCTGAAACCAGCTTTATCTCAGAATACTAGACCGTGCTCACTTCGTGAAAGTGCGTCAGGGGCCCGAATCGCTGAAGCCACACAAGCATCAAAAATTTCACATCATGACAAATCCATCCCACTGAACTTTCGGGACATTGGTTTCCACTGGCAATGCAACCATTTTTGGATTCATCAAGATGGTGACGTGGACGGCACATCATTCTAGTTCACCAAGACTACCATCCCTACATATCATGTACCAAGTGATAACCCACTGACATTTGACATCGATAATTAAGGGTAACTCTGCCTTAGTCAGCGACGTCTGCGCGGGCGTGCCAGAGTGCAGGAGCCACGCACCTCGCGCGCCAAGATTAAGAACACAAGAAAAACGTTGAAATCCATGAATGTAGTAGATGAATGTGGTAGCCGAATGCGTGAAAAGTGACATCTAAGAAAGACTGAGCGTGAGAGGTGGAAAACCAGGTGAACTGGTGTCCAAAAAATTGATGCTTCCCTATACCACTTCTGACATTATTGTTTTTCTTCCAATATTGTATTTCAGTGCTTTGACTGCTGCAACATGTGCAGTGTACAGTACCTTGCATCTGGTTTTTGGAACCTGGCAGGCATGAAAACATGCATAAACATACACAGCTTTTTAGTGACTAGTCAGCTTCTTGGTATTACAGGTGAGACGATTCCCGGTGACACGAGTCCCAAGGACGCTTCTAGTTACTAGTCAGTAACTGTGTTATCCTTTCGTTATCGTTATGTTTTCATTCTCATGCCTCTATGCAAACAAGAGTTATCCGGAGCTACAAGCTTTTTTATGCTTCTTCATCTTCGAAACCAGTGGCTCATGTCTTTATTACCTATTTTGTCGGTTGCCTTCGAGCCATTGGTTTGCTTCAACTTCAGAGGAACTCTCAAAAACCTCCAAGACAGCCAACCCTCTCGGGGATCTGTCTGTTCTGAGATAGCTCCCTGAACAATGCATATGTCAGATTCCGTCATCTCTGGCTGCTCCTGGATTCGTTTCATTCAAAGATGGCCCTCCGAGTTCCACCTAGACACTACGATGCAAGAAATGCGGGGGGACCATTCGCGTTCTTTTTTCTTTAACATACGACAACAATGAACACTACTACGGCCCAAAGAGGGACTCGCATTTCTTACATCGTCTATCTTTTGTTATATCATCTTTGCATCCTTTTAATACTCGAAGACAAAATTTCTTCAGCGGACTTAAAACTATGTTTTGTACACATCCATGAAAGTGGTACCCGAAAGTGGCGCCTAGACCCTAGACCGTGGTCATTCCATCCATGATATTCCGTTTTAGACCACCCAACACTCAAAATTTGGTCTTTTCCCGGACTTCAACCTGAAAATCTCACGCAGAACCAAACGAAAGTCGAGCTGTGCCTGCATCCGTGTCTCGCAGCCACTGTTTTCGGCTCTTTGCTCAGCTTCCTGCACCTGCATCACTGCGTAGCAAACGACCGTTTGAGCTTCAGACTACCGTGCTTCACTAAGTTGAAACACCCTTCTTTATTGCGTACACAAAAACCGCCACTTTCAGGCAACAGCAGTTCAATGCACCACCCTCTCCGTCAGCAACGACTCCGCTCTTCCCCGATATTTTCGAGCAAAGCTAGCACTGATCTCGCCATTAACTAACTGTGCATAATCTCAATCACTGGCGTCTCAGCGCTTTGCCACAGCGTTCGCTGTTGTTCTTCTCCATTTCCAGTGTGCATTTCATCCTTTTCCCGGACGACAACTCTTCCTGACACCGTGGTGCATCTTATGACTTGACTTCATAACTTTCGACCTAGTCCCTCTTCTTCTCGTTTGTACTTCCAGTCACAACATGTCACAACCCATTCCATCCAACTGCGCGCTCTGACTTCGCTCTCGTTCTGTTCGGATGCCTGTATCACTGATGGTCTGTCGGGTCCATCAATTGCATCCACGCACGACGCACGAGCCGTGATCGCTCTATGCATAAAATTGCCTTGCGCTCGACGCCGCTGCTCAGAGGCAACAACGCGGCGCAGAGCCAGAACGGATGACTTCCTTCATTACCTCCAACGTAGTAGCTTTGCTCTTGCTTTTGCTTTTCTTCACAACCTGCTTCATCCAACTGAACGCTCTGACTCTACACTGGTTTTCTTTTAACATGCCTGTATCAGTGATGGTCTGTCGGGTCCATCAGCTGCATCCATGCAAGGTGCACGAGCCGTGACCACTCCACACTTAAATTGGCTGCATGGTGCACGAGCAGTGGTCGCTCTATGCTTTAATTAACTTGCGTTTGATGCCCGTGCATAAACACAACAATGCGGCGCAGAGCCAGACTCGATGCACTGCTTCATAACTTTCTACATAATAGCTCTGCTCTTGCTTTTCCTTCGATTGACCACCTGTTTCATCTAAGTGGACACTCTGGCTCTGCCCTCGCTCTGTTTAGATGCCTGTATCAGTGATGGTCTGTCGCGTCCATCAGCTGCATTCATGCATGGTGCACCAACAGTGGTCCTTCCACGCTTAAAGCTGCTTGCCTTCGACACTCGGCACAGAAGCAACATCACGCCACAAAGCCGGAACGGAACATTGCTGGCAATCATGGACCATGTTTCCCCGGCGCCGCAACCAAGCTCTCTTTCTCAGGCCACTTACCTTTAGCTAACAATCTCCCTATTCCGGGAAACACGACCTTGAAACGTACCCATCTCCGCACGTCAGCGCCGGCCGTGTAGCTGTATCAGCACGTCATTCGCGCGCTTCGCTATCGTCCTCTTTTATGCACCTTACCCGCAATCCACTAGCTTAGATCTTCGATGACCGCTCTAATACGGCCATGCCTTGGAACGCGGCCAGCCGACGCCTCTTTTGACTGCCTCCTCGGCCAACTTGTGGAGGCCACTCACACATAAACAATTATATCACAATACAAGCTGCATGCACCAATGTGTGACTTCAAACGCTTAACACAGCTAACTCTCAATATACATATACAGTAAAGCTGCAATAGATATTTCTATCATCAATTGCCATCACCATTGCCCCTTTCGATTTTGCGCGCCTTCTCCAATCCACCCCATCAACGTGCCCACCATCTCTGGCATCTTCGCATGACTGGCGCTTGCCACCGTAGCCTGCGCAGCTCGTTCCGCTTTCAATGCATCATCTTGTGCAACCTCGGCAGCAGGATACGAGCTTCTTCTCCGAGTTTTCTCCCTTGCATTCCTTATCGACATACTGCTTTCCCAAAACCCCTTGCCTGCTGGGCGTGCTCCGTCTCTGTCAAAGCACGCGCAGTCCCGAGAACTTGCAGGGCAGTCAACACGGTCTCCGTATTCTGGTCGCTGCGCAGGCGAATGTAAATCGTACGCTTGCTCCTCGCACGCACCTTATAAATCTCCTCCGCGCGGCCCAAGCACACAAAGATTACACACGAACCCAACCTTCGTAGACAAACCGGAATCGAAAGCATGTGCACCGAACGTCACCATGAATGCCAAATCTCCACGTTTTATTTTTTCTGTATCCCTTGCAAGCCAAACCCGACCCAGGACCGCGCTATCCTCCACCTGATTCATCACAGCCAGCTCGACTAACTGCTTCGCTTGTTCGTGCTGCGCACCATGCTCCAATGCGCGCTCCGGGGCTAAATGCAAAAGCAACGACGCCATGCCGAGTTCCACCGCCGAAGTTGGGCTCCTAACTTAACAATGGCCGCTGGTGGATAACCACCTTGCCATACACCCATGCTTGTCACCATTCTCACATCCACCTCACAACGACCCAACCACCACATCAGCAATGTTTCTGGTGACAACTACCCTTGACTTCATCCTTGGAAGCTGCATAGTGGCCATTGATTATATACAATGCTATTAATAGATATATGTATATACAACCTATGTCCTTTCTTCATTTCTGCGCAACTAAGAGTTCATGTACAAGAGCTGCCTTATCATCTCCCGATTCTTGCCCAACAGAAAAACACCGGAATCCGGGGCTCCGGTGACACGCCTCTTCGACATTTCTTCTACGATCACGTACGTGGTGTGCTTGTACAACTTGCGCACGTTGATCACTTCGGCCGCCTGCATCTCGCACGGTGTTCCAGTGGCTGCAACGCGAGTAAGTCAACAATTCCACAGAAAGGAACGAAAAAGCAGGACTTAGAAAACATTCCACCTTTTAGAACAGCTCCTCTACACTACAAATCTACGGCCTGTCGGTACAATATGTGGTCGCAGTATCACAGTCACGCTACCTCTCCGTCCACAGATTGCTATGCCACGAATGGTGATTGGTATTTTATTCAAAGGTACGTTCTATTCCAATTACTTCTTACACAGCGCCTCGCTTGCAATCAATCAAAATTACCGTGTTCCGAAAGGCGTACATACAAAATTGTAACCTCTTTTGCAGACATTACATTTACTGCACTGCCATATTCTCCAGCAAACCTTCTTCCACCTCCTTCTGATTCTCCGTAAATAACTGAGAGCAAACGTAAAATTCATCACGGCCTATCCAAATTATTGCGGTACCCAGTCTTTCTAAAAACTAAAGAACATAAAAGAACCACAGCATCCATACCTGCAAAACACCTCTCCGAATAGGCAGGCCTTGGATGCTGATACTCATCGCATCCCTCAACTCTGGCTCCAGCTTTCCCTCTTCTCCACGAAGCCTCGGTTAAAAGATATTGGCCGGTCGTTTTTGCGTACGAAGCAAAACCTCGCCTTGCAGCCGGAACTTGGTAATGAAAACTTGCAAGAGCTGCTGCTTGGCCCTCCCTGTAGCTAACTTTTGCGGTTGCGTCTGCCAAACGAGGTTGATCCAGTCAAGGAAGTCAATCGAGTAATTGTCTTAAACTTTCTAGCACTTCTTCATAGGACATGTCACCCCCAACTAACGTAACAACACGGTGATGCGAGAAATGCGCGCTGGGCAGGCACGTTCTTGTTTTTCGAAACTTACATAAAAAGGGAACACAAATTACCGTCCAAATAGGAGCGCGCATTTCTTACATCACCCTTTCTCCGTCTTCAATACTTCGATCAAACAATGGTCTCCACAAACATTCATAAACTTTCCATAAGCCTAGAGGATCTATTGCTGCCCTTTGGGGCGCGTTTCGTTGTTTGGCAGCGTTGAGCTTCTTTTGTTGATATTGCTGTTAGAAGGCTTGCATACCCACGCTGCACAGGATACTGTTTTGTTGCACACCATACCGCTTGCGTGTCCACTGCAGATGTTCATGGCTGTGCCATTGGGCCATGGTTTTCTATTGTTCTTGGGTTTTGAGCGCTGGCTCACCCACTGCGCGCTACACAACAGACCTTCTCACGCTAACCAAACGAAAAATTAAGGATGAATTGTGGCAGTGTTTTCTGTCATTCTGTTGTATTTTACAACAGAACACCAAAAGAGGAGAGGGGCAGCTCCTTCTGCTCTTTTTTTTGTTTGTTTTTGGAGTGGGAAGAAGAGGAAACTTGGGATTGGCATCCCTTTTTGTGTTGTAGATATTTTTTTGCCACGGTGGGAGGTGCAAGGAAGCAGTGGTCACCTTCAATTTCTGAAAAGTTTCCTCTTGGGAACCTAGCATGTGCGTTTTGGTGGGGATATTTATATGGATGTTTCCGGCTTTCCTCGTAACTTCGCTTGCGCTCACGCACCCTCGGTCGAGCTCAGGCGTGAGGGTTGTTTGTGTAATTATAGAACTAATGATGTAAAGCAGTGCTGTCACGCACAGTGGAGTGCAGCAGACAGCGTCTCCTGGCAGTGGGGTGTCAGCTTAACCGCCCTTGGCTCAAATGAACCTCCTGTTCGCACTAGCTGCACACCAGACATATAGCGGTACGAACCTAAGTTGACAAAACATATGCGAATGAAAACCAATAGTAGCAGCACTGTCTCCTTACTCTTGGCCTGCTGTCACCCATCTACTTGCAGCGATACATCTCAGTTATAACTTCTTGTGTCTTCATAAACATGTGCACCTCTCGATGTCAGCATGCACATGAATACAACCCTTAAAAGTTTTTGCCCTCAGTCTCACTCAACCGGGTACCTGCGCTTCACTCGTTGGCACCCATGTACCGCTTAGCTTCGGAGTTGCAAGGGTCGCTGCCAAGATGATATTGAAGATAACGTCGACCGGCTCCACACCGCGCCTCGGCTTCGCTCGCATCACACGGATTCGCCGCTTCGTCCTACTTTCTCCACTGCTCCTCTATAAAAAACTTACGCACTTTTACATCACGGAACTGAACACAACTTTTTTTGTCAAAGGTACTTCTGTCAATACAGGTTTTCCGCTTTCTTTTACATCCCAGGACTCAACACAACTTCTTTATCGAAGAAACCTGTAGTAACGTTCTTTGTTTTTCAGTCGCTGTCAATTGCAGTCCCCCACCCTCTACGATGCGCTTGCACAAGTTTCGCCTATTTCAACAACCATGAGAGGCAACTCTCCACGCCGGACAGCGACTTGAATTTGTCACTGCCCAAGCAACAGTGACTCCAGCTTCGTTCTGCGCGCAAGGCATGTAGGCCAGTTGTACGGCTGATCCATGTTCATCCGCCCAGCGAGCATCTGGAAACAACGCCCCCACTAGCAGTAACCAGTTGTTTTCAAAACGTCCAGAAAACACTCTAGTCTGGACACAACACCCCCACTTGATCTTCCATCACCACGTTAGTATGAAAGAATACAAACGAGTAAATCTCTTACTTCTGACTTGTCTGACCAGAGTGAAAATACTCAAAACCCGGTGCCACACTGCCGTAGTTCATGTCTCGAACAATTCATCTCTGCCAAAGATGTTCGAGCCGCACCTTGTGTACCCGTAGCGATGCCCGGTCCAATTGCCAGGTCCACTGCAAGATCTTCTTCTGCTGAAAGGCCGGAGATCGGAGGACATCCAGAGCGCCACGGCGGAGTGGCATCCGCTCAGGAACGAACAAGCGCACGAACCGCACACATTGCGCTTCAAAGAACGACAACGCCTCACCACATGAGATTTCAAGTACAACATAGGTGGGGTTGTCGAAAGAATACCGCAGCTATCAGACTGTGCAAGCTCTTGCAAACGATGAACTTGACCCTCCCTATCCCTATCCCTCTCTTCTGGGTAGCCACCGTTGACCCAGTGACCGTCCTGCGTCTAGCAACATCTTGCGCAACCGTGAATCGAAACCGGTTTCACGAATGCTCTGACTGAAATGCGGCCAGAATGCCTGCTCAAACCAAGCTTCCGCCTCAAACGCATCGCCGAAGCAGCCACGACGTCGGCGACATGCACCCTTTGGCAGGGGCAAGCCGCACACTGACGCAAACTCTTGCACGAGATCTCTGTATGACTCGTCACCCATGGAAGTCCGCAGCTTCGCGCTCAACGAGTGATACTTCCGCAGCTCACGCATGGCGTGTTCCACTGTTTGGAAGCCGATCAGTGTTCACCACGCCTCACCCAGATGATGCGCTGCCACCTGCCGGAAGCGCCGCGCGAGCTCCAAGTACAGTGGCACAACCTAAGTCTGAAGTCATCTCTGTTCGAGGCGTTATATGACTTGGCTTTGATGTCAGGCCATCCACAACGATCTTTACACTACACTGCACCAAGGAGCTTTCACAATGATTATATATATTTATAGACAGACCCACCCCAATGTATGTCAGATTCTGTCAGTATAGCGCCCATGGAGTGTCTGCATCATAAGTTCTTCACATTGAATATCTATGTACAGGCCCCTTGCTTGCCAAGATACTCGGCAAGTCGGCGGCTCCCTCTTCTCAGGGCGCTCACCCAACAGCTGCCACGTGCAACGCCAGGTGCCCGGCCCCAGTGTCAGCAACGGACCGCACGCGAAGCCTGCCTGTTGCAGGATACGCAGCGACAGCAGCCGCGGGAAGCACTCTCCTCGAACGCACCGCTGCAGGGCAGAAACACACCAGTACAACGAGCGAGGCGAGAAAGACAACTACACAAACAGTGACAAACTGATCGAAAACACGAAGAAAGAGGAGACAGAGAGATAGAGCGAGAGACCACGAAAAACACAGAGAGAGCGAAAGCGAGAGACCCAGGGAGAGAGAGAGAGAGAGAGAGAGACAGATAAAGCAAGCTAATAGCAAAAAACAAATTGAAGACAGAGACAACAGACACACCGACAAAGCAGTGGTTTCATACAAGGCAAGCCAATCAAGCAAGAGCAAGCCATGGCATTAGGAACTCTGCACATGTTCCTACACATTTCAAACCACAACCGAGCGCACAACACGACCCTGACGCTCCTCCGCCGAAGCAAGATTTCAACGCCGAGTTCACCACACCAGCGCCGGAGAGCAAGAGCGCCCCCCAATCCATCGGCAGCTGCTGCATCAAGCTGCTGATGCAGAGAAGAGCGCCCACCGTCTTGGTCAACCGCGTGCCACGCTGGACACGCGATTGACCAACACGGCGGTTCTTCACCTTCAGGACAATCACTTGCTCACTGTTCGAAGCTACATTTTACGCCATGCTGAAATCAGCCTTATGATCGCCACCAACAACGTGCTGAGGCAACAGCACTAACTTGCAACCGATTACTGCTTCCTGCCAAAAATTGCCACACCACCAGAAATACCAAAACAGTCCACCAACTAACCGCCGATAAACGCCTTGCCTTCTTT